TTTTTTTTCTTTCTCTCTCTCTTTCTTTCCTTGCTTTCTTTCCTTGCTTCTTTCCTCTCTTCTTCCCTTGTCCTATTTTTCTTGTCCTGTTTTCCTTGTCCTACTCTCTCCCCTTTCTTCTGAGGAGCGAGACCACGGTTCGTATTTTCCTAGAAATAGCGGCTCAAGTGTCTCACTTTGTTGCGTAGCCTCCATAGAGCGCGTGCTGCCTTGATTTTAGTTGCTGGTAGTAAGAGCTGCCGACACCCCCCTCGTGGAAACGAGCTTGTCAAAGCTCGTAGCAAGCAAGCCGGTGAAGGGGCCGCAGCATCCCTGCAGATGTGCCTCTTTTATTTCTCACTGGATAGTTTCAGCCTATGGATTGGTCTGTCTGCAATAAGCACAGATCGTTTGGTGGTTTTGAGTCATTCAGACAAGTGCCCTGGGGCGAACAGTGAGTTCGTGGCTGCTAGGGGCTATTGTCATGATACCGTTTTCTTTTCTTTTGTCATTCCCAGCAAGCCACAAACCCACTCCTGCGACAGCGATCACCCCCTGTTAGCTGAGCTTATCAAAACTTAGTCTTCCGCTCAGCCTAGTTGACCGCACGCGGAGAGTTTATGGTCGTTCCGGGTATGAAGTCCCCCATTGTGCATAAGTGGATACATGTAGGTAGGTGTGGAGGACAGGTGCATACTCACGGGATTCTAGAATTAGCAACTGTCTACCAGAAAGTTCTTGATAGCCCCTTAGTCTGTGATTTCTTGCTTGTATTCTTTCCCCTTTGGTATTAATTTCAATATCTGATCTCCAATGAAGGCACGCCCGTTTAGCAGTGACATTGCCATGGCCGATGAGGGAGATGCGCAGATGTACAAGACTTTGTACATATCTCCCAGCTCAGGCACAACATTTAGCTTATTAGAATGTGCTAAAAATGCTAATGACTATGCAGCAAACATTTGATTGCCCACCAACTGTTAGGTGCCGCCGAAGCACTCTGCCTAGACCAGCTTCTTCATCAGTGAGATTTACATCATGAGATCGATATCATAAAGCATTCGTAGGTTTCTTTAAGCACCGTCTGAATCTTATAAATAAATGAAATGTGTATTTGGGGGATCCGGCCTCAACACCTCAGTCACACAGCAGACGACGTGCTCAATCAACAGCTCGTCCTATCTAGTCTGCAAAGCAGGAACTATGCTGTGCACCTGAGGCTCTTGAACACAAATACCTGACGACGCTAGGCATTACGACAAGCTCGTAACACAGCCCAAAATCGTTGGCCTGCCCGTCAGGCGACGATCCCGCCGACGGCACCCAGATGCTTTGACTGGTTTGACTGGTCTAACAGCTAGCCTAGGGGTCAGACTGAAACGTGGCGGTTGTCTACTTCTTTCGTGATGCGTTTGTCGGGTCGATGAGACCAATCGTAGGAATCTTTGATACTGGCCTGGAACACACGGCTGATGATGGCAGCGTTAGCTCTATCATGTGCTGTCTACACCCTGTTAGAGCGCCTCCTGACGCTTAGCTGGGATTCTGTAACGAGAGATCCGTCCTCTAGGAATATAATATGAATCCCATGGCCGTTGATACTCTATTCCAGGCAGAATCTCTTCTCTATAGCCTAACCAAACACACCAGCAAGTGTCACCTATAGATCTGTTCTACAATTTCTCCATGGATAAGCCAAATACTCCCACTTTGGGTACGGATGATGCTGAGTCGACGGCTTTCGAAAGCACATCGAGCTTGAAGCGTTCACCAACAAACTCATCATATGTATGTTCAATCCCGTCTTCTTGGATCCCAAGTCTAATTCGGTAAACATCAGTACGACTTTGATAACGTACCCTGGGACGGTAAACATGGCCGAAGTTGGATGCATGCTTGGCGTGCTAAATTCCGGCAGATAGGCTTAACCCTCGACGGTGTTCGATCTACTATCAGTAGAGTCACCACGTCACGGTTCGACGGTGTATACCCCAGCTATTTTGGCAACAAGGAGGAGCTTCCTTTGAAAACCGAATCAGAGCCTATCTCCAATCCGACAGAGAATGCAGACACTAAAGGCTGGCTTCACCATCCTCTGATACCCGGCCGTACCGCAACCTTTTCTGGCGGCACGCAAGAGCCCGGGGTTGTAAGAAGTGTCTATGCCCCCAGCGATCCTACCACATTCGACGTTGTCTATCATATAGGTACAGAAGGGTCCGATAATAGGGAGTTTAGATTGGCGACATACCACCCAGCTGTCAAGCAGGTGGGCTAAATCGGGGTGGCTGCGGAAAATTCCCCCAAAAATTAATTGGGCTTTTGACGGCGTTTGGAAATTGAATAGATATCGCTGAGATTTTAGTAGGACATTGGTTGGGTATCTCATGGTCATATGCAGTATAAGTCGGGTTTGGTTTGTGTGAGCTTGGTGCGAGTATCTTGTTTACTACATGTATACTGGGAAATCCCTTTGAATTACAGGAGGACAGAGTAAAGTTGCAAGAAAAAGTCTGGTTTTTTTTTTTTTTTTTTTTTTGGCATTTCGGTCTTGAATCCGGTGTTTTCTCTTGTTTTGATTCTGGTCGGATACAAGCCTTTTCTTTGGTGTAGAAATGTAGTATGCAACTTTCTATGTGTAGACTGATCTCGGGTTTTGTTGGATGGCTTCCATTATTGAGGTGAGAATCAGGCTAATCACTTTTATAAACCCAACTATTAAAGTAGGTTTGCTCTTATTAGGCTCTCTAGAAAACTTCTTTCCCCCTCCTATCTGTATAGAACTTAGAACTTAGAACTGTAAGAATAATAGATGATTTATGACGTGACGTACAGGTATCAAGAGGTTTCCCCGGTTCGCGACTAAAAGCAACGAACCATAGAACTCCTTGGTAGCGTTTCGTGGAATGAGGCCCTGTTCCAAGCTGGACAACCCACTCCGCAAGCGAGATAGAGATCGATACAGTCGAGTGATATTCTAGTACAGGACTTTTCTTGATTTATTTTCTTTGCCTATGCCTCTAGACTATCTGATCCTCATATTTCTTTGTTCTAGTCACCTATTAAGATGCAATTGTGATTTGTACGAGAACCTCTTCTTTGCGCTCCATTTCGGCCCCTACCTCTTCGAAAAGAAAACTTCGGTTCGTTCAGTTATTTTTGAGACGTCCTGTACTTTGGGACCTTCTACAGAATATACGCCTTGAATCAGCATAGTTCTAGGCTCGAAGTGACAAGATGCTTTCCTTTGTTCCAGCTCGTGAATTCTCTCTCTCTCTCTCTTTAGAACGAGGAGTTGTTAGAGCTCAATCTGGCTCGCCCGTATCTTGGCAAATTAGTTTGTGAAATTTGTCAATGGCTGATCCAGCCGTCTCTCGCCGTGTGCGGCAAGATCTGCATACCGACTCAGACCGGCCACAGCTCCGTTGTAGTTGAAGCTTTCCTGCGTTGTTACCGGGTTATATTTCTCGCTTTCCGTGTACGTTTCTATTTGCCTACCTATGCACCGACAAAGAGCTCTGTTTCCAGTACTCTAATAAGAAGATGCTCTGCCTGTTTTGTATGCCGGTCGAGCCATGACCCCCATCCAAAATTTCCAAGTTCCCCGCCTTTTGTTGGGAAGATTCATTGCGATCAAAGTGTCTGCTTTGTATGCGTGCGTATGTAGCTCCATGCCAAATAGCACTACACTGTTTCAAGGTTGAGCATGAACACCAAAGCAACGGGCGAAGGCAGGGGTCGTCATTGCTGGCTTGATGGCGCGGAAGATTTATCTGAAAGGCAAGCGACTAACATAAAACAGCGTTGGATTTCAACACAATATCGAAACAACAAACTTAGTAATAAACATATACCAAGCTAGATATCGTATAATAATTTATCTTCCCTCCCCCCCATTGTGATGAGTATAATTGATAAGAAAATAAGTCCCTGCCTCTTATTTCAGCCACTTGATAGGCAGCTTCGCCAACCTACCCCGCTTGTTCTAATTTACGGGTTCGCCAGAGACCCGTTTCAGGATGCTTCGCAAGGGTTCTGTGGTGCAGTTCATCCACTATGATGTGTCAACCACCACCTACTCTCCACCGCAATCTTGTTACAACACACACGCCTAAGCATCATCCTACTCCAGTTTCCGCCATTAAGCTCATGGCTATTACTACCTAGGGAGAGACCTAGTCCGTGCTTCGGCACTGGCAGTGGAAGGAGCCAGCTTGCGACGACGTCAGGTGCTGCCAGGAAACCAACCAATGTGATGTGCTTGCTGATTGGCTCCCTGTCACTGTCAGTTTCACAGGCACCCATGAACACATCTATCCTGATTGCAATGGCACCTGTCTGCCTGGCAGCTCGTCCAGTGACCTTCCGTGGCACGCCGCAGCTTCTAGCCGGCGGTCTTGTGCCTGCCTGGCGCGGGCGGCTTGGTCCCATGGCGGGCTGGAGATACTTGGCAGCGCAGTATCTTGTGGTACCCAAGCAGGTGTCGAGTGGCAGCTCCCCGCCCAGGGCCTCCAACACAGATCGACTATCGAGGGGCAGCAAATGGTACGATGCATGGCACATCGACCTAGTTAGGAACGGGCTCGCTGGCTCCCTCACCTCGAGCCCGTGGTCCACTCGACGCCCGAAATCCAACATGTTAGCAGCGACGATCTTGGGATGCCACAGAGCTACCTGGCGCCGAGGTACCGCTTATCTGGGCTAACTGCAGTGAATGTACAACACCTGCTGCAGTCGGTCGTGCTAGCGCTCCAAGCGCAGGCGGACCCGGAGCAGGCCTGAGGCCCCTGTAGGCTGTAGGTGGGCCAAGTTGCGTTCGCATCAATGCATGTGCCTCGAAACACACACCTTCTTGGTGACAGGTTGGCCTATCTGGCGGTACCTCTGCTTGCGGTACCATCCTACGTCTTCCCTCTTGCGCCTTCTACGTAAAACGGCCAAATTTAACAGCGCCATCCTGCACATCTGCTTCTGGTGGTCAGCACCCCTTGCCGGTTTCCCAATGCACCTTTCCGCCTTGAGGTAGCAAGTCCCGTTGTCTCGTATCTTGGCCGTCGCGAATTGTCCAGCCACCACCACCTCCACGACCGGTGCCAGTCACCTCCTCTCCATTCATCCTCCAGCCAGCCGGTTGCAGTAACCGTCCCATTTATTCGTATCCGACTCAACAGGATAGCTGACCCGGTCGCGTCCGCCTGCATATTAATATTCCCAGATCAAATCGACCTTCAGATCCCAAACTTGCCAAGTAGACGCAGCTCTATGGTGGCGCACCTCGGCCAGTCCCTTCGCTTGATGTCGGCGCCATATGCTCATCTTGAGCCCCGCGAACTCACCCAACTCAATATCTTGGCCCGCCGCCATCACCACCACCCCTCCTGCAGCAGCTCCCGAATCCACCTCACCCTCGACCTGCGGCTCTCCTTGCAATGGGGAACGTGAGCAGTCGGCCCAATGATGGGGCCGCTCTTTTCTTGAAGGACCAGAACCGCCGTGCGTTCTCTCAGCAGCCGTATAGCGCCTTGCAGCTAACCTGCTAACTTGTGATCGCAGTCACCATATCGTCCCTAGTCATCACGAACCCTCGCAAGCGATCTTCTGTACAGATATCCCCAAATGAGTTCCCTGCGACTCTACTCTCCGCTACCAGAGTATCGGGCGATACAGCCCCGGTAGAATTCATCCAGGTCCGTCTTGTCTACCAACTCAGCCCGCGACTCTTCCGCTGACCAGGCTGCACTACAGGATCCCGAACCGAGTACACTTGGCGTCCCAAGCTTCCTGATCAAACTTAGCAACGATGACGAACTCATTTTCACATTCACATTCGTCATGCGCCAACCGCAAGCGTCGCCGCCCGGCACCGCCACTCAAGACCCCCAGCCCCAACCGGTTGAGTCAAGTATCACAGGTCTCACTTACGTCTATGCATCCACCACCCGCGAGGTCGAGAACCTCGTCACACGGGAGTTTCATGCCGATCCCAACCTACACAAGAACGCCAATGTGGAACTTGTTGGCGACTATTCTACAAGTGGACTCCCGGCAGTAACATTCGACTGGACGTGGAAATGGAAGCCTCCAAAGGCGATGGAGGATAAGGGTGGAGGCTGGAGGAACTCTTGCAGTGTATGATCAGTGAACCCCATTCTTTGCCGCGCTTGGCTAGCTACTGACCTTCAGCAGTTTGTCGAGTATGATTCTAGAGCGCACCGGCTAAATGCCCTCGCCAGTTTCTCGTACTGGGTATCGAGTATGTGTGATTTGCCGATTGCCTTGTTTCCAACTTACTGACCGGGAGGATAGGTCCTGCAGCGATTCAGAGCAATGTCAGTTCTTCATTGGGTCCCTTGACGATGGGGTCGCCTCCCAGAATCCGTGTCGCCTCGTCTCAGTCTGTGGATTCCCGCCTCACTGAAATCGACGAACCTGTCTCGCCCATGGCTCCAACGCATGATGTAAATTCCCTAGCACCTAACCCGGCTCAAACAAATATGCCTGTCAAGGTCGACGTCCCTACCCCGAAACCTGGTGACGATGTCCTGGTCACCGATGATGGGCCAGTTTTTCGAGCCGCACTCAAGGCTCTAGAGCAAAAGACTGGGAATATGCGAACGCAGATGAAGAAGGTGCTGAAGAAAGCCGAACAGGTTCACGCTACCCAAACAGAGGCCAATGAGGCCTTTGTTTCGTTCATTGAGTCTTTGCGTGAAGTGTCATCTACGAATGCCAATGCAGTCCAGCCTGCCCTGGAGCACTATTTCGACAAAATCGCACGCGAGATACTGACTTATGAACGGCAAAACACTATAGCCATGTCGAAAATCGTTATTGAGCCGGTGCAAAAACTATACCATATAGATATCAAGCAAGCCGAGGCTAAGAAACGAGAATTTGATGAGGAGAGCAAGGACTACTACGCATACGTATCCAGGTATCTTGGTCAGCGTCAAGATTCGGTCAAGGCTAAAAAACTGGCCGACAGCGATACAAAATACCAGAGCAAGAGGAAGACCTTTGAGCTCAAGCGATTCGACTACTCGAGCTTCATGCAGGATCTTCATGGCGGACGCAAAGAGCAGGAGGTTTTATCTCATTTGACGAAGTATGCAGATACCCAGACCAAAACTTTTATGGCAACGGCCAAGAAGATCGAAGGGTTGCTCCCACAGTTGGAGGCACTATCGTCCGAAGTTTTGGAGGCAGACAAGGAGTATCAGTATCAAAGGCGGGAGCGAGAGGAGAAGCGACGCCTGTTGGAGAAGACGAACGGCACTTACCTTGAGCCCGAACAGGCCAGCACCAACAGTTCGGTACCCGCCACGACAAGTTCTAACGGCACACTTCAAGGGTACGCCTCAGATGGTGATCTTGGCCGAGCTGATAGTACAGGTTCTCAGTTGCGAGCTGCCTCGTCAGCTGGTTCTAATACCGCAGTCCCGTCTACGACCTCGGAACTCTCGAGATCTCCTGGAAGCCTTGGCCAGTCGCAAGCACCGAGCCCTGCACCGAGTACCAAATTCAAGGGCATCCGAGATCTCGAGGAACCGAATGCCTCACAGACGTCAGTCGCGCAACGTAAGGAAGGTTTGCTGTGGGCTTTGAATCGTCCAGGCGGTCACGTCGATCCCAGAAATCTAAATAAGCAGGGATGGCACAAGTAGGTGTACCCGGGCCCGTTTGAGAGCGTCTTACGGATTGATTTTAGCAGACTGCTAACTTGCTTTTAGGTTTTGGATCGTATTAGATCAAGGAAGGTTGTCGGAGTACAGCAACTGGAAGCAAAGATTGGATTTGCACATGGACCCAATCGACCTCAGGATGGCCTCGGTTCGAGAGGCGAGAAATGCCGAACGGCGATTCTGCTTTGAAGTTATCACGCCAAACTTCAAGCGTGTCTACCAAGCCACGTCTGAGGAGGATATGAACAGTTGGATTTCCTCTATCAACAATGCTCTTCAAAGCGCTATGGAGGGACGAGGAGTTCCCGAGAAGCCCAGTACTGCGAGATCAACAGGCGATTCATCCTTCAAAAGGGATATTGGATCAATCCTAACGGGCAAATCGCAGTCTGTCGGCCACGGCCACCACTCCAATCACAACCACTCAGCTTCCGGGTCGGGCAATGGCCTGCCGGTGCGTAGAATAACCGTCGGCGCTCGGCCTCCAGCTGTCCGAACGGCTAGCTCGGGGTACGATGAGAACCCAGACAAGCTGCTGCAGATGGTGAGGGAAAATGACAAGGGCAACACATGGTGTGCGGACTGTGGCTCTGGTTCCAAGGTTGAATGGGTATCCATCAATCTCGGCATTATTTTGTGCATCGAATGCAGTGGCATTCACCGGTCACTCGGCACGCATATTAGTAAAGTCCGGTCCCTTACGTTGGACATCAAATCCTTTACTGTCGATATTGTCGAGGTTCTCCTCCTTGTCGGAAATAGGGTCTCCAACATGGTCTGGGAGGCTAAGCTTGATCCCTCTCTGAAACCAGGACCTCACGCGACGAGAGAACAGCGACTACGATTCATCACGGCCAAATATGTTGACAGAGCTTATGTCGAACCGATCTCCTCGACCCTTTCAAGATATGGCACCCCGGACGAAACCCTTTTGGCCGCGATCAAAAAGAACGAGATCCAGCAAGTGCTGTACGCCTTGGCGCTGAGAGCGAACCCAAACGTCGTTGATAGGATGCGAGGAACGCATGCCATGTGGCTGGCATTAGCGGCGGCAGATCCTGCTGCGCCTTCACCAACACCAACACCCACTACGGCCGATTCGGACAACAAAGTAGTCCCGTTCCCTGTTGCAGAATTGCTTACCCAAAACGGGGCTGAGATACCTTCAACACCGCCAGCATTCCCGCTCGGTCGATATGCCCAGATTTATGTAGACCAGAAACGAGGCAAGGTTGTTGGTGGTGCCTCAGATTCCGTGCCCTCGCTGCCTTCTAATCTAAGCGCAAATGAGAGGCTTCAACGAGAAAGAGAAGCGCGGCTGCAAAAGAGAGTGAGTGCGGGCGGGAGGCTAGCTAAATCACCGATTCCTGAGAGGTAGGAAAGGAAATTTTGGGAACGGTTGGCGGGCATGAGCCTGTGCTACCACGACTTTTGGCTTCCGCGGTTCGGGAGTTCCGAGTCGGGAAGCAGTGATGACATGATTTCTTCATGATAAGATGGGTCATACATGATGAGCGACGCGCAGGGGTATTTTCCCTACACCTTGGGTTCAAAGTTGGCGTTTAAGGAGGTGTCTTGACACTTGGAGCAAGACGGGTTGACAAGTGGCACAAACACTTTCTAGTCGTGCCTGATTGCGTATATGTTATGGCGGTAATAGGTTATGATTGGCAAGGCTGTCTTGAGCAGGCACTGGTACCGGACGCGTCATTGCTATATCCCTTATTGGCATCAGCAGGGAGTTGGAAAGAAGCATTGTATAGTATACAACTTGATGGATACTCAGTAATGGTAATGGCTCAATGGGGGGAGGTGTTTTTTTCTTGGCTTCAATTGGCCCGGCAGCTGTCGGTGGATGAATACACATTATTGACCGCGAATACAAGTATATATACTTCCTACTCTTCCATTGAATGCCTACCCCTTGCTTCTCCAGTGTGTTATGCCACTTGCTGGTCCGACTAGGCGGGGAATGCCGAGCAAGGTTACATTCTATTGCAACCCTCTTCAGACCCTGGCGAACTGATACATGGTTGGATTCTTGATTTTGGTTCTCCATAGCATCAGCTGATAAGAATGAAGAATTGCCAGTATTTATTAACTCGATCAATGGGATATTCACAGACAACACGGTTCTTGGCAGCCAGCCAAATGCGATTTACAGAACTGCCACCATGTCTCACTGGGTGATGATGGCCGTCGCCATGATCGCCCCTACTGCGCAAAGCTGCTCTACGAGTGATCCGACGAGTATATCCCTGCCAGTGAGGTTCCCCTTGAATCTGTCTGGAGTGGCCGCGTCGGTCGTCGCAGTCGAGTCTGGCCAGACAACAGTTTCCTTCGACTGTCATCCCAGTGTGACGGCGACAGAGGTCTGCAATCCTGACGTGGATCGCTGCATCACGCTAGGTCCCCCTGTACCGGATGAACCCGATGCTCTTGAGGCAGCTATCTATAGAGGTGGATGGGTAACATGGTAAGTTGGGCTTTTTATAACTACTGGTCTCTGGTATCGCCATGCATATCTGTATCTGGGGCCTCTCCATCATATGCCGTCTCCAGTGGTGGAGTTTCTATTAACGAAAGATGGGCGTTCCAGGCGTGAGGACCGATGGTGTCGGCTCGATTCAGGAGTTACTTGCGCCGAGGATTTGACCACTGGGTCAACGGGAGCGCCGTCTCTCACCTCGCCCATCTCAACACAGGACGGTGGCCTTGAGTTGCGAGAACCTGCCGCAAGCTCAGCGGAGGCGCAAACATCAACATCTGTGGTATCCTCCACCTCTTCTACGGAGGCTTCTCCAACGTCTCCGCGGTCTGACGTAGGCGCCGAAACAACGGAGCCCAGGATGTCCATTTTGCTGGCGACGGGGAGCCCAGTCATCCCGACGCTGGCTTCAACGACGTCAGGTTCAAGGAACACCGCTGGACTGCTACGGGAAGGGCATGGTCTTGGGTTTGCTGTGGCTGCTGCTGGTTTGGTCGGCGTAGGTTTGATTCTCTAGGAGAATCTGGACGGGTTTAATCAGAGTAATGGTGGGAAGAACTACAGGTTGTGGCTCAATTGTTCTAAGCTGGAGCCAGCCACCTGCGCGTCTTATGAGGCTCATATTGTGGCTAGTTGCAACATTATTTTAATCCTAATTTTAATGCTAGTAATTTTCTCTACACGAAGGAGTGTTGCTGTGAGCTCATCAAAGTTCCGTACCTGGTTGTGCTTGTGCCTCTTTGGCAGGTGATGTGGCTGGTGACCGTGGTGAACGTGCCGCCTCTCACATGTTCATGCGTAAAAGATAATGATCGAGATAGCGGGGAGGATGCCATCATCGGTCAGGCCGATGCAGGCCAGCAGACGCAGCGAGGAACCAGTCATCAGGTTCGCAAAGTCCAGGGTCCTCAGCAAGTCGAAGAATATTACTGCTCAGCATTACCGCCCATGAACCAGAGCGAAGCATGAACCGAGCTGGCTAGTGCGAGACGGATGTGGCGCTGGGTGTGGCTTGCGAAACGGTTGGCTAATAGTATTTCCACTTGGACAGGGCAGGCGGAAGATGCGACGATGCAGCTAGAGACTCCGGCCAAAGTGGCAATGGGCATCATTATGCATGGATGCTGGCTGAGCTTGGCAGCGGGTGGGTTCAGCGCCGGTGTGATGTGCACCCATGACCGCCGATTGATCACTCCGTGCTGGATGCCGCCGTCCCAGTCGTCATGATATCGATGCCAGGTGCCGCCATGACACGAACTGAGCTCTACACGAATCGAGAGGGAAGGGGGGAATCCGAGATTCGTTCGCGCGCAGTCATTAATGACAGGAAAAAGAACCGGGATGGATGCTAATGATGGCTGCTAATGATGGCATTGCTGTTGGCTGGCTGTAAAGGGAGACATGCTGCAGCGGCCGGAACTGCCTGTTGGTCCCTGACTAGCGCCCCTCTGGCTGCGCCGAAGCAGCGGCTTAGCAAGCAGAACCTGAGACAACAGTGGATGGTAGCAGGCAAGTCACGTACCCTGTGGTTAGCCAGCGCCCCTAGTACATAAGGCTGACTGGGGCTGGGGAGCTCAGCACTGAGAGCTAGAGTTCAGTAGCGCTGGTTGCCTGCCTGCCTGCCTGCTGTCGCTCCGAGCGTTCGAGTCACTCTCGCATATTATCCGTCGAGTGCAAAAGCAGTCGCAAGACGCCAGGCACCCCATCTCATTTCCTTTGCTTTCCCATCCACCGTCAGCCCATTTCCTAACTGTATCTGCGCTGACTTGCTGGCCTGGAGCTGAGGTTCTTTTGTCCGAGTCTGGTAGGCACCACTTCATTTCTATTTGTCCAGCTGTTGCGCCGACCCAGAACGCCAGCGTTCATCACGTATCGTTGCTTGCTCGCCTCGATCCCACCGTGAACAGCTGAGAGCTCCACCGCCGACGTCCGGCTTTCGGGCCTTGCCAACGCCAGCGACCATGTCGCCAACCAGTGAAAAGAGTACCCTGAAGCGCCCTCTCGTATGTCGCCCCTTTTTGCCTTTGGCGGGTTGACCAATCGTTTGTTAACGTGAAGCGAAAAGGGCTCCTTGCCCGAGGACGAGACGGAAACCAAGAAGCCGCGCCGAACCACGGACGACGCAACCATCCTCAAAACCCCAATTACGAACAAGCACCACCTTCCCTCCCCCGTGACGAACCAGGGCGAGAGCGATGGCAAAATCACAGCGCCCTGCTCGACTTCCCTCGAGCAGAACCTGACCCCCCGTCTCGTCGACGACCTTGAGGAGCCCAGCCAGGTGCTCTCCTCGCCTCCCCACGACACGCAGCAGAACACACAGCCCGTCGATCAACATCCGGCATTCGCGGATGACATGGAAGATGAAGCCAAGGAGGGAATTTGGGGCTATCTTGTACCCCTGGATCCCAAGTACGGGGACAGACCTGTGCCCTTGAAGAGGCGGACTGCCTGCCCCATGCCAGACTCAGCTGAAGCCGACGCGAACGCGAAATCATCGGACTCGAAGGGAAAGAGCACGCCGGCACGAGAGGAAGAAGCCTACGAGCGCACAAAGATCAGGGGCCATGCGTCTGGCGGCTACCTGATCGGCCGGCACCCCGAGTGCGGTAAGCCAGCTCTATCCCCTTTCCCTCCCGCTCGCCCCCAATTGAGATGCTAATATCGCATAGATATCCTTGTCAATGATCAAACTGTGTCGAACAGACACTGCCTAATCTTTACCGAGAACCAAGGCACAGACAGCGTTGCCATTGTGGAGGACCTTTCTCAGAATGGCACTTTCGTCAACGAACAGTTCATTGGCCGCAACCAACGGCGAGAGCTAAAGGATGAAGACGAGATCGCGATTCACGGCAAAGCTAGATTTATTTTCCGATACCCTCACAGCAGACAGACGAGCGGTTTCTTGCAACAATACACACTTCTCCAGAAGCTCGGCAAGGGTCATTTTGCTGAGGTCCACCTCTGCGTTGAGAAGGCGACCGGACAGCGATATGCCGTCAAGATCTTCACTAAGCATCCTGGAGTGGAGGATAAGTCCAAGACTGAGGGTCTTCAGCAGGAAATCGCCGTCCTCATGGGTGTCAGCCACCCCAATGTTTTATGCTTGAAAGATACTTTCAACGAGCGTGATCGTGTCTATCTGGTTCTAGAGCTAGCATCCGAGGGCGAGCTATTCAATTACATTGTAATGAAGCAGAAGATGAGCGAAGATGAGACTCGCAAGCTGTTCCTACAACTTTTCAAGGGGATCAAGTACCTGGTAAGAATAGGACCCTTTCTATCCCACTGGTCGAAATGTCACTAACCTGCCTGTAGCATGAAAGAAATATCGTTCACAGAGATATTAAGCCTGAGAATATCTTGCTTGTAGACAAGAATCTTCACGCCAAACTCGCCGATTTCGGTCTTGCTAAGATCATTGGCGAAGAGTCCTTTACGACTACATTGTGCGGAACTCCCAGCTACGTGGCCCCCGAGATTCTTGCAGACTCCCGGAGACGTAGATACACCAAGGCCGTCGATGTCTGGTCCCTCGGAGTCGTTCTCTACATCTGCCTCTGTGGATTCCCCCCCTTCTCGGATGAGCTCTTCTCCCGTGATTTCCCCTACAACTTGTCCCAGCAGATTAGAAGTGGGCGCTTTGATTACCCCTCACCTTATTGGGATTCAGTCGGTGATCCAGCTCGTGAGTTTGATCGTTCCAACCCTCAAAGTTATCTCGAAACTAATGATTAAATAGTTGACTTGATCGATTCAATGCTGGTTGTTGACCCCGAGAAGAGGTACACCATTGATCAGTGCCTTGCGCATCCCTGGTTAACTCAAAAAGCGCCTGCTGTCAACGACAGCACTGGGGGACTTGTTGGTGGCCTTGCTGGGCTTGAGGTCAACCGCAGGGCCCCGGCCCGAGAGCGCACTCTGCTCTCAACTCTCAACTCCGTGGACGTTGTCACCACCCAGGTTGATGCCAGTGGCAGTCAGGACCCTGTGAAGGTGTTTTCCAAAAACAAGAACCGTGTCATCAACGCCCCTAAAGAGGCTGGTCCTGCCCATCAAAGGGACCCAGCTGAATTTGCTGAGTTGGGTGGCAAGGGAGACCAACAACTATTTGGAGACGATAATGGTAGCATCTATCCAGCCAAAGATGTTGCCAAATCTCCCGCCAGGCAAAAGTAGAAGGCAAAGGCGAGTGGGTGGTGAATGCTGAAGAGAAAGTTGTTTTTTTTACTATACATGTCAGGTCTGGTTGATCGAGGTTTCGGCATATTGTGTTTTTCTTCATCACAATTTGGTGCTTTTAATAATGGCTTTTTTTTTGGGCTGGGTTGAATCATTATCAACTACCTGACCTGCCAAGGGATATCGGGATACACAGCGTTTTGTTAGGTCACATATTTCATATGTGTGGGATTGTTTGGCTCACGCTCAGAAGGCGATGTTATCTTTGTGGTTTTGATATATAGGATATGGGAAAGGAGGTGCTACAACACCAAGGCCATTTTCATGATATTGAGGAAGTACAGGGACAGCAAAAGTCAAATTTAGCCCATGAATATCTGGAGATAGCTAATTCCAACACATAAAAATGATTGTTTCAGCACGAAAAAGAGGGCGGCATGCAGATAATCCGGGTCACCGCCCTCGCTTAGCGCCCACACAATCAAGGTGGCAGAAAAATCAGCGGGGTGGGCATGACTGGAGGGGGCGCCCCACTACAGGGCTTCACGAGAGGCGACCCTGTACGAATTATTCGTAGCGCAAAACCAGTCATTGACTTGGGTCTCACTGTCGAGCAGGAGGACGAGCGAGCACTTGACGAGTGTATTCTTCCCAGCAAGCCGAACGCCCGATACTTCTACGACTCGACTCGACCGGAAAATACCAGACTCGGGATCACGATGCCCGCCGCCACCAACCCTGGGCAGCCCCAGCTGCTATTCGCCGATGGATCCTTCGAGGAACTCGCTGTCGAACTGGCCGACTACCTGAAGGTCGAGGATGTCAAACAGCTGTTTGAGGGAGATAAGAAGGGCTCCACGGAGGAGGTTCTGGTCAAGCTGGTCGCCGCCGCCCCTGGCCTTCTTTCCGTGCCTGAGAAGGAGTTTACTGCCGCGTCCAACCTGCTGATCCACCTCGTTCTGCAATCTGCCGAGCCCAAGAAGCACCTGCCGACGCTATGCAACATCTTCTCCAAGCCCGTCACCACCTCTCCCGTCCACGGCGTTGGGCTCTCTCTGAATGCCCTCACAACTGTGTTCAACCTCCTCGAGCCTAACGACCCGATCCGGGCCCGCGTGTTCATGGAGATTCTCAAGTTCCTGAAGGCGCACAACCTATTCGAAAGCCTCAAGCATTATCTGGACACCCTACCCGAGTGGATGGAGGCATGGGGAACTACAGTAGATTACCAGAGGAAGCTTTATGAGGAGGTGGCAGACGTCGCCCTGGAAGCTGGTGAGGACGAGTGAGTCAATTCTGATCTTTTTGAGGCCACAAGAGGGCGTGAAGGGCGCCCTCCCTCACTCACATAATACCGTTTGTCTGTTTGCTAACATCTTGCCACAGGCAAAGCTACGAGTTCATCCTCAAAGCCTTGCGCACATTCGACGCCGATGACAAGGATGATGCTTCATCTGAGGATGCCCAGAGACTATCACTCCGCGCCGTGCGCATGGCCCTCCTCTCCAACACCCACTTCCTCTTCCAAGACCTCCGATCAATCCCTTCCGTCCAGGCCCTGAGCGACTCCCAGCCGGTCTACTCTCAGCTCCTCGACATCTTCGCCGAGCAGGACTTGGAGGACTACAATGACTTCAACGAGGAGCATGAGGGCTGGGTCGACCAACAGAAGCTCGACCACGAGAAGCTGCACCGCAAGATGCGCCTGCTCACATTCTCCAGCTTGGCCGCGGGCACACCCAGCCGCGAAATCGAGTACGCAAAGATCGTCAAGGCCCTCCAAATCCCCGTCGAGGACGTCGAGATGTGGGCCATCGACGTGATCCGCGCCGGCCTGGTCGAGGGCAAGCTGTCGCAGCAACGAAACAAGTTCCTCGTGCATAAGGTCACGTACCGTGTCTTTGGCACGAAGCAGTACCAGGAGCTCGCGACGCGCGTGGGCCATTGGAAGTCGACGATGCAGAACGTGCTGACCGTCCTGCGCCAGGAGCAGGCCAACGCCAAGTCCCAGAAGGAGCGCGAGGCGCAGGAGCTGGAGCGCAAGCTGAATAGCGCGACTTCCGGCACCGGCGGCCAGGGCGGCCGACGGCAACAGCGGGAGCGAACGGACAATGACGACTAAGCTGAGAAAACTACCTGATGGAGAATCTGCAGTATTAAGAGCGAGGAGATCATGAGACTTGGCCAGGATGGTTTACCTGGGCGATTTTGAACTGGGCAGGGGCTACGGGAAGTGGATGGTTGATAATACCGTTTTGTGATACTATTTTTCGTTCGTCAGAGGGGACATGCTTCCTCTTGGCTTGGGGGCTGTGGTGTGAAACGGCGAGACCCTGATGAGCGGCGGGAATCTATCTATTGCTTTCCAGCGTCAGGGAGGGCACGGGATCCAAAAGAAAAATTAAAGGGATTTAAATAGAATGATGAAACGAAGCACCAATGAACATAACAGCGAGAGGAAAAAGTGCCTGCATTTGGATGGAATGTGAGTCCCCGCTTCAGCAACCCCCCGCCATAGAACCATGTAAGGCGGTGCGGGAGGAGGGGTTTTGGTTAGGTACATAGGTATTTCAAGAGTCGCTTTCAATGATCGTCTTTGCGCCATATCCGTTTTTCCAATTTAAACCCATCCTTCTGGTGGTGATTGCATTGCAGCAGACGCCAGGATGCACCCTTCCGCGGCTGGATGCCATGGCTCGGTGGGCTGTGGAACATTGCCAGCCACCTCTTTTCAGCTGAGGTTGAAACTGGCTGGACGGTTGGGAAAGGCGGCGTTTATTAGCTCCCGCGCCCCTCACCTTCTTTCCCCACCGGGCAACGGTCTCATGTTGTGTTGTCGACGCTTTCGTCCGACACGTCCTGAGTTCTTTTTTGTGTTCAAAGAAGAAAATTCCCGATTCTGGTGCAGTAAGAGTGGTGTAGCCGTCGCGCGGGCAAATGCAAGAAGCGGAAGGATGCCGCCCAAAAGATCCGGTCGGCAGCGCAATCGGCAGAGGGCCTCGCAGTCTGAGCCTCAATCGGCTGAAAAGGGTCGGGACGATGGTTTGTTATACAAGGGGAAGTGGTACTGTAGGTCATCTACCCCAAACATTATTCAACATGGCGCATCATCTACGCTTTTGTTTTTGCTTGCCCAATTGTGTTTTTCGTCTAACATGACCTTCCCCAGGCAACTGCAGACCCCGCCGCAGGGAAGCATCCCGCCGGGAAGTCAAGAAGGATAGTGCGAATAAAGGTAGTTTCTATTACACGTGCATCCTAGACTCGCATCCGTGTGGGTTCTGGCTGTGGGAGAGCAAGGCCCAGGGTCGGGCCGAGACGAACTTCGAGCCTGAGGAGGCAGAGGAGCAGCTCTTCCTGGAGAAGCAAAAGCCGGAAACTCAGAAACAGTTGACCTCCTTTTTTCAGGTCACACCAGGCCGGCGTCCGGCTGAGGACGGTGTCGCGGCCATGGAGACGCCGTGTCCTTCAACGTCTAAAAGAAAGCGGGATGCGTTCGGGACAGACGAAGACCTGGAGTCCGCGTATGGCATGGACTCGGAAGAGGACGAGGAGCTGATCGCCTTGGTGGACGAGACTGTTTCTAGCTCAAGGAAGGGCAAGGGGAAGGAAAAGGCTGCTCAACGTGACCCTTACATCACGCCAGCTACTGAACGAAATGTCGATGTGCTGGGTGGGCTTCCAACGCCGTCTGTCACACGGACTCTCTTCCCGGCTTCATCTAACAAGCGCCACAAGACGGTATCATTCGAGGAGAGCCCGGAGCTGCAGACACCGTCCACCTGCACCACGGCTACGGTCGCCGCTCCCACACCAAGCACACCATCACAGCCCGCAACCCCGAGAACACCTGGATCCATCGTACCGGACGTCTCGGAGGAGGTCATGCCCCTCCTACAAGGGCAGAAGCTCACCCCCGACGCCCTCAAGTCAGTCCGCGAAGTGCTGACCAGCTCGGCGCGGAAGACGAAGGGCATCGTCACCGCCAGGGACTTCCTGAGGGGCGAGCTGAGCAAGCGGGAGACCAAGATCGCGCGGCTGCAGGAGAGGGTCGAGGCGGTGGAGAACAAGAACAAGCGGCACAACCGCCAGGTCACCAACATACGGGCCGGCATCATGAAGCTCCACGACGAACTGTCCAAGAATCAAGTCTCGAGCGTGGAGGACATCAAGGCGAGCCTCATGAAACTTTACGAGCAGAACTAGAGGGACCGAAAGGGGTCCGTGTGTTTACTTTTACTTTTTTGTTAAATATTCCCTGGTTAACTAATCTCACTGGGAAGGTATGGAGCAGGCGTGTTATGTGTACTTTTAATTTTCTTTATATTGTGTATATGAATTTTTTGCTTCTTTGATTCAAGACAGTTTGATGTGCCTGTCTGTGGGTAATCAGCGGCTGACTCTGGCAACCGGGTGGCATAAGAGGCGAGATACCAAATTCTTACACCTTCTTTTTAACCATTCAATGCCGCAAAAGAGATATAAAAAACTTCTAGAAATATATTTTTTCTTTCTTTCGCTTTTATTCCATACCATAGCTTTTTCCTGGCCTTTTTAGTGTGATTTAGGCTTGAGTTGCAGCAGATAAAACATAGAGCCTCTCCTACTATGAAGGCTTGAAGTACTGGTTTGGTGTCTCATCTCTTATGTCACCCACTTTGACTGGCTGTTGGTCTCGGGCTATGTGACCCACGGTCAACAGAAGGCGTCCATCTGGGTCGCAAAGACAAGCGGGCAGCATAAGAAGGCAGAATCGATATTAATGGCGCTGATATAACTCGGTCTCGTATCAGAAAATGGACAAACACAGAGAGGTGCGTCAGACAGCAGTTCTGATACCTGATTCTTACTGCTGTTCCATATTGTGAAGTATTGGACGCTGCATTGCATCAGCCGCTGCGCTTTGGCGGCTCATTGTTACCACCACTCCTGGTAGTGTATTGCATTAGGTGGGTGGTAGATACCTACCTACCTTAGCAAGGCGCAATGCGACAAAGAACAGAAAAAGTCAAAATGAATCATGCACCATAAGCCTCTTGTTCTGCCTTGTTGCTCTCGCAGCGAAAGGCATCCATCCCTCCATCTCAGTATCGCCTTTGTCCTTTTCGTGCTGGCGACCAACAGGCCGCGGTGTGTGCTGAGCTGGGCTCCCCTGGCTGGCTGGCCGGCCGGTATAGGACCTTGTACACCCGCTGCAGGCTGCCGCCGTAAAGGTACCTGGCTCCGGTACGTACCAGGTATGACCACAGCCCGCCTGGGTGCTACGCATCACCCCTCCATGGAACCTTCCAATCAGCAGGGGCCACACTGGGGGTGGGCGCGGGCTACGGGGGCAGCGCAGCCAGTCAGCTTCGCCACAGCATCGACTTTCTTCGATACAATTCCATGAGGCGCTACGAACTTCGGTGCGGATCTGCAGGGTCGCCCTTTTTTTTTCTGCTCTCGCTGTCCAAGGTCGCTGCAAGTACCTGTCTGCCCAGCGCCTGCCTACTCACCAGCCTAACCAGCGCTGCATTACCTGCGAGATACCAGCCAGCCCGACGGTGTTCCAGCGGCATTGTGCTCTGTCTCCCAGACTATTATCTACATACTTCCATACTACTAGCACATACTTCTTCCATTCTCCAAAGCTTGCACAACTTCTCCCTCTTCCTAATCACATCGTAATACTCACACAGGCATTCCGTTGCTGTGCTTGTTGGTACGTGGCCGCCCTCGGAACGTGAACTGACTCGGAGCCTACTCTCAGAGTCTTGGTTATCTTTGCCCTTTTACTGACTTAAACCCGGCGCCCTGTTAGGTGGCAGTTTAGTGCTTGGTCTACCCTGAAATTTCTCTCTCAGCCCCGCCAGCCCCAAGTTTTAAAGATCAACGCCAGCCCGATTCGTTTCCCGGGACCGCGCAACAACAAGAAACCACAATCTCCCCTCCTCCCCTTCACCATCTCTCGAGGAAAAGGTACGCAAGAAACCCTACGAGACGTTCAGAGGCTGCACACGTGCGATCGTCCGCTCTGAATCTTTAACTCTGCGCAGCCCATTCCCGCTCCGCTCGGCGATTATTCTCCAAGCAACCATCAGGCTGACAAACTCTCCGGACTTTAGGCACAGCCTGCTTTTACACATCCTCTTCCCCTTCCTTCCGCCGTTTTGAACACAACAAACAACCGGTTCACACATAATTCTTCACGATGGCGAAGGATACCAAGTTCTACGACACCCTGGGTGTATGTGATTCTCCCTTTTCTCCCCAAAATGTGGTGGTTGGAAAATTAGGCATCCTAACGCTCTCCAGGTCTCCCCAACCGCAACTGAGGCTGAACTGAAAAAAGCATACAAGGTCAACGCCCTGAAATATCACCCAGGTACGGCGCTGATCTCTCTTACCTGCGAGTCACGAGAGCATCTTAACTAACGGGAAGGTCGGGAACACAGACAAGAACGCTCACAACCCTGATGCCGAGGAGAAGTTCAAGGAGGTTTCCCACGCCTACGAAATTCTCTCGGATCCTCAGAAGCGACAAATATACGACCAATATGGTGAGGCCGGTCTCGAGGGAGGCGCTGGCGGCGGTGGCGGCATGGCTGCCGAGGACCTGTTCGCCCAGTTCTTCGGCGGCGGTGGGTTCGGTGGCATGGGCGGCATGTTTGGTGGTGGTATGAACAGCCGCGGCCCTCCCAAGGCCCGAACAATCCACCACACCCACAAGGTTGCCCTTGAGGACATCTACAAGGGCAAGATCTCAAAGCTGGCTCTGCAGAGGTCCATTATCTGCCCCAAGTGCAGCGGTATTGGTGGCAAGGAGGGCTCCGTAAAGAAGTGCGCTGGCTGTGACGGCCAGGGTATGAAGACCATGATGCGCCAGATGGGCCCTATGATCCAGCGGTTCCAGACTGTCTGCCCTGACTGTAACGGAGAGGGTGAGACCATCAAGGACAAGGATCGTTGCAAGCAGTGCAACGGCAAGAAGACCATCGTCGACCGCAAGGTGCTCCACGTTCATGTCGATAAGGGTGTCAGAAGCGGTACCAAGGTCGAGTTCCGAGGCGAGGGTGACCAGGCTCCCGGCATTCAGGCCGGTGACGTCGTTTTCGAGATTGAGGAGAAGCCACACCCCCGATTCACTCGTAAGGAGGATGATCTTCTCTACAAGTGCGACATTGAGCTTGTCACAGCTCTGGCTGGAGGTACCATTTTCATCGAGCACCTCGATGACCGCTGGCTGAGTGTCGACATTCTTCCTGGTGAGGCTATCGCACAAGGTACGACATCCCTTTTCATTTCAGGTTGTAAACCCTTCTGTATAAACCAAATACTAACAACTCTCAAGATGCTGTCAAGATGGTCCGTGGGCAGGGTATGCCTTCATACCGCCACCATGACTTTGGCAACTTGTACATCCGCTTCAACATCAAGTTCCCCGAGAAGAACTGGACTGATGATGAGGCCGCATTCGAAGCCTTGAGGAAGTATCTACCATCACCTTCGCTCGAGAACGTTCCGCCTGCCGAAGCTATGACTGAGCCTGCGGATCTTGAAGATGCGGACAACACCTCACAGAACCGCGGCTTCGGTGCCGGTGCCATGGACGAGGACGATGAGGATGGACACCCCGGCGCCGAGCGCGTCCAGTGCGCCTCCCAGTAAAGCATTCGAAACTCAGAAAGCCAGGAGACGCGAGAGATCCGGACTCGAGGACATAAATGGTGTCATGCCAGGAGAAACACCTTCCTAGGGCCTGCTTATGCCTTCTTGCCTTACCTCCCTTTCGGTTTTCTTGGCTGAAACAGGCAAGGGCTTTCCCTTGGCTCTCATACGATAGATATGGTGATCAATGAGTACTTATCCTATTCTCTCATGGTAGGAAACTCGTTGATGTGTCCATCTGAGCACGACGTTTCTGCTTTTCTTTGATTTAATTCATCGCCCCCTCATGATTATTTGATACCAACCCTAGAAAAGCTTAGGCGACAGGGGTGGTGGTTTCCTATTGCTAGCATGGAGAATTGAGGGAATCTGAGGGGGGGAACATGACGTTGCGATGGCCAGCTGCCGCGATGAAGGAGTTCGGGTGGTTGAGCATGAAGGAGGCGAGACAGTCCATACAGCGCTGTTTTTAATGCCGTCCCATTACATTGACTTTTTTCTAGTAGTCGACTTGGGCGAGGGGTGGCAGGGATACGGACAAGATGGTGCTGGGCTGAAAGACAAAGGGGGGCTCCGGATAGTGCTGGGGCGGGCGTTCAGAGGGCATAGACGATTCAATGAGCTTTAGGCAGCGGCAGACCAAGTAGACATATGACATGAATCTATTGATTTGACCTAGTACCATGAACGAACCCGGTGCTCTTCTCCTCTCTTCTCGATTACTCGTTAATTTGCTTGGATAGAAGGGATTGATCCTGAGAGAAGACATCTCATACTAAGGGCTCCCAAGCAGCACGAAGGTGGAAAGTACACGAAGTGAGATCTAGTTGTTTACCATTCATAGTATAGACAGGTCACTGCATCGATCAGATCCTGCAATGGAAGGAAGACCGTCTAGAGCGAGGCCAGTATTCTCGACAGAGCACCGACATGCGCGATGTCCAATGTACACCTACTTATTAACAACAATGTCTCTTGAGGCTGCCTACCTACTGATGTTCAAAGTTGTCAAACGAGTATAACAAGTACCCTCCATCGAGTTACATAAGAAAGCCTCTACCCTACTAGTGTTTACCTAGAGGAAAAGAGAGACAGAGAGAGAGAAAAGCCAGGCCTGAAGAAGTTATCTAATTCAATATGTAGGTCATGATAGACAGGCTTTTCACACGACCTTGAAGCTATCCCTAGCAGAAGGGAATACAGTGGAAAGGCTTCAATCAAGCTGGCGTAAGCTTTTTTCTTTCTCAACTCACGCCCCAACGCAAAGCATCAGATACTCTGGATAATTATTTGATAAGATTGATTCTCTGGTTCCACCAGCAAATTGAACTCCTTGATACTACATAAGACAGGTAAAATTATACAATAAGAATGTCAAAATCAAGGAGTCCAGAGACACATTTGTATCATCACATGTCCAGTTATGGCAGAACGCAAAAGAGATATGAGGAAGAGAAACCAATTTGGATGGGAAAAAACGCAAAACATGATCGTGTAGGCGATATTCATCACGCCTCTCATTGCATCAAGCATGACCACTCTCAATCCATCATCCATCGTGCCTGAGTTAGCATATTCACATGTCTCTTTACAATGTGACAAATAAGGAAATAAAATGCGGCGACGAGCCGCGCGCTTAGAATGCATCCTCGAAAGGACAGTCAACACTGTCATGTCCATCGCGCTCACAGACCGCACACCACTTCTCGGGGTCCATGACGCCGCTCTCCTTTCCGGGAACAGGGCCCGAGTCCATCGGGTTGGGCATGACCTTGACGGCCGGGGTGACCACAGGGCTCTTCGACTTGACAGGCGAGAGAGGGGCGGGGTGAGCATTGCCATCCTGTACCCTCAGGGCATCACCAGTAATGGTCTTGTCTCCATTGACTTCAGCGGTCATCTTGGCACCGTCTGGGCCAAACATGTTGGTGCAGGTCAAGATATCATGGCCAGCCGTCTCACAGATCTCGCACCAAAGAGTGCTATTCTCAGTTGCGCTCGAGTTGGCGTCGCTCTCGGCCATGGGAGCCATGGCTGATCCCCGCTTGTGCGCAGAGTCATTGTCATGGCCCCTGCTAGTAAGGACGACGGTGTCGCGCGAGTCTCTGAAAGAGGATCGCTGAGGATTGATATTGGTGATCCTGACCCGTTCAAGCTCTTGCTCGAGCTCCTCCTCCCGCTTGCTCTTCTGCTCGAGGATCCCCTGGAGTTCGGCCACCTGCCTCTCCAGGTTATCGCGAGCAATCTTGTTCTCAATGGCATCACCCGGAATCAGGGAGCCTGGACGTCTAGGTCGAGGTGGTTCCGCGGGGACTGAGTCTCGACTGAGTGAGTGGATGATAGCCTTAAGACCTCTAATCTCATCTTCCTTCAATTCCAGCTCCTTTAGCTTGTCCTTATCGAGGCCACCTGCCTCGGCCTTTTCTCGCTCACGACGAAGTTCAGTCCTTGTCCTCTCCACATCCCCTCGCAAGAACTCGACTTCTCCTCGAGCTTCAGCTTCGCCGCGACGAGCATCCTCAAGACCCTCTTCGAGCTCCTGGACAAGCTCCTCGAGTTGTTTCAGCTGGGTTGCCACCGACTCGACGTCCATATTCCGCGATTCCAGCTCACGGATATCTCCCATGAGCTCTTCCATTCGCTTCTCATACACCCGCTCGGTTTCCGTGCTGGCCATTTCGAGAGCGTCAATCGTACTACGGAAGTCGGCCCGATGGGCATCAAATTCAGCGGTGAGCATAGCAATCTTCTCGTTCTTCTCCCGCAAGATCTGGCGTAGCTGGCTGGAATCTTTGTCGTCAAAGCTATTCCGTACAGACACCGGTCCTTCGGCATGCTCCATCAACGTTTGGAGTTCGGTCAAGCTGCTCTCCATTTCAGACAAAGTCGCTGACTGCTCTTGAAGCTGACGGTCTCGGTCTTGCAGCTGTGCTCGTAGCCGCTCAACCTCATCCTCATGTACACCATTCGCACGCGATGCCGGACGTGCCCTGCCAGCAAGAGAAGATGCTGAACCTATGCTCCCATTTGCCTGCGCCCGGTGTCCGGCAGGCTTGTTCTCATCATCGTAACCCGAGACAGAGCCAAGTGCAGAGGCACTGCGTGGACCCACGCTTTGATTGAACTGTGGTAACTTCTTGCTAGGATCTCCAGCCGTGCCGCGCACGCTTTGAGCGAAACGCGCATTCTGCGCATTCGTTGGGCTTCCATACCTGGACGGTACTTTCGGTGTCGCAATCGAGGGCTTCGGAGTCATTTGCGTCCGCCGAACCGGTGAATCCGGTCGGGGCAGTGAGGTCCTCGGTCCACGTTTTCCATGAGGACTGGGTGCCCTGCCACCTGGGCCGACCGAGAGACTGAATTTAGGTAGACTGGGTGTTGGAGGTGTGAAATTCCCCGAGTGGTGGGAACCAGATCTAAGCCCTGTGGTGCCAGGTGTCAAAGGGAATGGAGATCCTCTGCGGAGAGCCTTGGAAACAGGAACAAATATGCCTGCGCCAGGGACAGAGGTTGCAAAGTAGGATATACTAAATGGCTTCGTGTTAGCATGTCGCACGGTACCACTTATATAAGTGCGCCTGATTGGGGTATAGGGGACGCCGTGAAGAGGGAGATGAAAAGACCTACCCATCTACATCACCGCTGTTCTTCCCACGCGGAGCAAATTCGGGATGGAGCTCTACACCAGCAAAGACGCCCTTCTTTCCTTGGACCGAACCGACAAAGCGGACTACGCCGTGCATAGAGCCGGGGACGTCAACAGTGTCGCCAACAGCTAGGTCGTCGCCAACCGGCCTGCCTGGCGTTGTAGGAGCCATGCTGTCCCTGGATTTCCGGTTGGCAGTTATGTTCAGCTGAGATGTGGTGCAGTCGCTTAAAATGGAGTCGTGGGTTTCGATGTTGACATCGGGATGGTTCGCGAGGTAGGCTTGCGTGAGCGCGGCGAGGGAAGATTTCCGCGGAAGGGGGGGGGCAGGGGAGCGTCTGGCCTGTCTCTCGTACGCGGCCTTGAGATTCGGGGTAGAGACGGCGGTTGAGGGTCTGCGCAGCGACGAGCGAGACTTGCGGATGGTAGGCGTCTTAGTCCTGGCGACGGGCGTCTTGGGCCGGGTGACGGGCGTCTTTGGTCGCACGACAGGAGTCTTGGGTCTCGTAATGGGCGTCTTGGGCCTCGCGATGGGTGTCTTGGGCCTGATAGGAGTTTTGGGCCTGGGCAGGGCAGCAGAAGGGACCTGATGAGGCACAGGGGGGTAGGACGGGAGGGTGGTTGTGAAGGAGGCAGCGGTTGTCGAGGACATTTTGGCGGCTGAGATTTAGCGGGTCAGATTGGGTGGGTTCCGGGGTTGCCACGCAGCGGCTGTACCTGCGCTGGCGTGCCTGCCAGCTGGAGCGTAGCGGGTAATAGGCCTAGCCTGGTAGCTGGCCAGGAGAGTTTACAGGGACCGTGGCGCCAAAGCCTCCCTGGAGTCTGGTTCTGGCTGCGAGGGGGGCGACCCGTTGTGTCTCGTCTCCCCTTTTCTGCTCTTTGTCCCAGCAACTGGTTATTTCCCGCCTGCAGCCGACCTTTTCTTCTTTGGGTACGGATGCAGCTGGTGACTTTGTTCTTCTTTTGTTTCGGCACCTCTAAGCCAAAGAATCGCCAGCAACTCGGGAGCGATGAAGCACTATCCACAGCAAACGAATTAGCATGAGATAAGATAGGTAGGTAGGCACTTGTATTTGTATGAGAAGGGAAGGAGATATCAGAAACATACTCGTAGGTGCAATCTCTCTTCGCGGGGTGGAGTGCCAAAATAAGACACCGGGAACCACCCACACACAAGGTCGGAAGGGCCTTGATTCGGGCTGTCTTGCGGCTGCGAAATTGCAGATATATAGGCGTGCCGTATTCGGTCGCTGTGGTGGTGGTGCGCAAGATCCGATTCAAGGTTGTAGTGTGCGCTGATCACAACCCTGCCGCAAAATCCGGAGGCGTCCTGGTTGTGAGCGAGCGACGAGGGGTGCGTGTGCGGAGAGTGCGTGAGGGCCTGCTGGGTTAGTACTGGAGAAAGGAAAAGGGCTGAGGAAAGCGAAAGTGAGGGTGAAGATGTGGAAAGAAGGAGAGGAAACCGGCCGCAGCTGGTGTTTTGTCGCGGAGCAGGCTCAGGCTTGTTGTTGTTTTGGCCGACGATTGTTTACTTGGTGCTGGCACTTGCCTACATTTAACACCTGCCCGACAGCGCTTCTGCGGTGCCGTTTCCTGGCTCGTTGCTGCACACCAGCATGCACTCGTACATAACCGTCGCCATCCGCACATAATCGAACATGGCCCTCCGTCCAACCTGCGTCCAGCATTTGGGGATGGGGCCCCGTCACCGCCTGTCCACCCCTATCCATCTGCAGCGGCAGGGTGCCAACTACCACTGCTGATCGAGTCCGGGGCCCTTCGTCTCGACGACACTATTTGCTGGTGAGCCTGCAGCGCCCTGGTCTGGTGCAGTCCCAGTGCGGAGACTGGTTCCTCTCGCCTGCGCGTGTTGTCTGACCTGCTGCAGCTTGGGCTGTTTATCCCTCGCAGACGGCGCCAGTCTCCAGTAGCAACCGAGTACATACCAGCTGTAGCTGCATCTCATCGTATGCACCCCACCAGAGCTCGATCTGGGAGCTCTCCCTGCCTGCGCCGTCCAGCCGTCCAGCCCACGGCTGAACCGAGGTCGCCCGGAGACGAGACTTCAGTTAGAGGATTGGTCTTGCTGCTATCGCCGTCGAGCTCGGTTGGATCTCTCCTCCGGACAACTCCCAGACTCAAACAGGCTGTGGAGGGGTAGCAAGGTGCTGTTCCGGCGCAGCTGCTATCGGCTGTCATCAGCTGGGGTGCAAGACAACCGCAGGCATCTTGGGGTGGATCATCACCGTAGTTCATGTCATCATGGATGGATAAACGCCACGAAGGGGCCCTTCCTTCGTCCAATTCCTATCAAACAAGGATGCAGGAAAGGGAGGTACTGCCCAAACTGTCGAATTCGGACGTCGTCCACTCATTTTGGGTAACTTACAGCCATGTCCCGGAGACAAATTGGTGATGTCAGATGCGCCACCCAACAATGGAGAATCAGAAAACCATCGAGTCTCAACGGCAGGTCTGAGACATGCAACCTCAGGAGTGTCACATTCGACGCTACGTTTCTAATACATGGAACATAGTTCTACCGGCCAGACTCCCACTTCGTAATTATTGTATTCAATGCAGTTCATAGTAATGATAAGCTAGACCAACTCCACCTGCAATCCCAGAAGACGAACGCTATGCCACAATGTGCCACTCTCGAGCCAATCGATCTCACTATTCCGTCGGAATGGAGCCGAAAGATCGATAGTCCTCAGCGGCTGAGAAGGTCACGGCGTAGGGAGTAAGCTATGCTCATCAATTAATTCACATCCCGATCCCCTATCCATGGACTGCTAATCGCAGCATGGAAGCAATCAGTCCCCCGCTCTGATGAGCTCGTGTGTAGGCGAAACTAACGACGCTCGGGCCCGCTGTGGTTTGATATCCAAACCGTACCACATTCGCCTTTGCATGTCGGGGGGTGTTTAGTTATAAAAGGGAGATGGATATGCCGGACTGCTTGTCCCCAGGATATATCCATAAGACTCCTAAAACCTGGAAGGTCGATGCAATGTGTATTCGTACAAATCCCCAAGGCGCTATTCCGGCTGCTTTGTAATTCAATTGCAGGTCTCGGGTATAGGAGCGACAAGAAAATCATAAAAGTAGATGCTCTCATTCCTAGTCCGGAGAGCTCTGATCTCTCTCGATAATATCCTCCCGGCCAAATGGCCTTGTCCCGTCGTTCAGAACCATAGCTTCGCGATGCTGGCGCCGAAGCCTCACTTCCTCGACTGACTGTTCTCTTGCCCGTGGAACCTGCTGTTCTGGTGCAGGGATCGACATATCAACCACGACGGGCCGGCCGAAACCAATCACTTCTGATCCCGGAATAAGGGAAGCGAGAGCAAGCGCGTGCAAGCCCTGGTTGCAGCATCGAATGCGAGTAACAATGTCGACAATACGGTTATTTTTAAAGCGCATGTATTCCGCAAAATTGTACTGCCTCTCCTTAAGACTGTCACCCCAATCTTGCTTAGCCAGCCACTTATCGACAAACCCAGCTCTGATAAGTTTTTGAGCGTCGTACTTGTTGACCAGCTCCAGAATGAACATTAGACAAAGTCGTTCTGACACATCACGAAGGTAATACTCATCCCAGTGGTGATCGTTGAGTTTTGGGCGCTCCGCATCACCCAGGCTAAGCTCTATAGATCTGACGAAGGCACGATAGGCATATTTGTTGTTCAGGTTTGACAAGCCATCGAAATCTACACAGCGGGACCTCGGTCAGTTCAGCTGTTTAGCGAAGGGGAATGAACCGTACCGGTAGCCTGACCTGTGAGAAGGACCAATGCCCGAAGGGCCCTCAGCCTCTCATCGTAGTCTGGGCGCGTGATTCCATGAAGCAAATAGCGGATGACATCTCGGTTGTTGACGGCGCGCTCGCAAAGAATCCGAGTGGCAACCTCGCGAATGTTGAAGCTCGGGTACTCTAGGAGCCTCACAAGCGTGTCGAGCCCAAGGGAGTCCTCGGTGTCCTGGGTGATATAGCGCGTCTTGGGCTGCTGGATGGGGATGATGTTCTCATCGCGCAGAACGGCCAAGGCGGCTGTCATGGTGGTGACGATGCCAAAGGTGGCGAGCCCGATACCAGCCAGGATGACGCGCTCATCCCGTAGCAAAAACCTAAAGCTGCTGAGCCAACTCATGATGCAAAGCACGATGGACCAAGAATGGCCGTTTCAGCAAAGTAAGACTCCAAGCATGGATGGTCCAGGCTGATATGGATGCGTTGGGTAAGGTACATTAGATGGCCATTTATGAATTGGAGCTCTGTATTTTGACTAAGACAGCTAACAAGCAAGTGTGCCACCAGGTGGCAGGTGCGTGGGAGGAACTCACGTCACTGCTGTCACCCACACTTGCCCCACCTACCCGTTAGGCCTGCCTAGCAGCTTAACGTCCCTGCATTTACTCACCTCCAGCCGCGTGATGACTGATAGCTACTTCCCTAAACCATCAACATAAAACATCACTCACAACCCAACTTCATTTAATTACGAGGGCAGCACACGTCCTAGAGATTGGACCATTGACACTCTCTCACGGTAATTGCAATTATTTGTCTATTTACATTACTATATTCTCATACTCCATCTCACAAAGAGATTCGCTTGGTCATGCTTCTCCTCATACAATCTATGGGGTAGCGGTGGGGCTGGGCGTCGGCGTAGCTGAGGGAGTCAGCGAGCTAGCACCAGGTGTCGAGCAGACACAGCCTTGAGCAGCATTGCTGGTTAGGGGAGGCGATGTGCAGGTGGAGTAGGGTTCGAGGGCAACATAGGTAGGCTCTGGCTGGAGGGAGACAACCTCAGCCTTGACGAGAACGGGGATGATCTGCCCAGTGGACAGACGGAAGGAACGGTGGTTCAAGACCCTGAGAAGGCTGGTGATCTCTCCAGAGTGGCTGGTGATGCTAAGCCATGTCTTGTCGTCCTGGCGGAAGACCTCATCCAGTGCCTCCTTGGAACGAACGTCCTGAGCAGCGCTGGTCTCGGCGAGGGACTTGTGCCAGAGCTCATCGTTCTCGGTGAAGCCGGCCTCGAACTTGTACCAGGGGAACATGTTCTGGATGTAAGTCTTGGTCGAGCGACGGTTACAAGTGTGGATGGTCATGCCCTCACGGAAACCCTCCTTGACAGTGGGGACAAAAGGCTTGTCCTGGGGAACGGTGATGTCGCCAAAGGTCAGGTTGGCCGTGATGGTGCATCGGCTCAGAGGACTGGAATAGTATGACTCAAAATACGGCATCTTCTGGGTCGTATATCTATCCTTGAAGTAGGCATTGGCCTTGTAGGCCTCCTGCAGACCAGCAGGGGTGAGGAGGGGGTCGCTCCATACGGCAGTTCCATTGCCTTCCTGCTCAGCCCAGTAGCACTAAGGAAGACCCGATATGTTAACAAAACCGCGGCAGTATGAAGTCTTTCAGGATTGGTAATGCTCACGTTCCAAGCAGGAGTTCCGTAGAAGGTCTCGGCCGCGTTGTGCCAACCCTCACCATGGCGTCCCATGAAAAGAAGCTTGTAGCGGACATTGGGGTCCTTGTTACAGGCCTTGGTGAGCTTCGTGATGTAGCGCTCGAACCGCTGCCACTGGCTCTTGGCACCTGCCGGGTCAAAACGCTTATCAGTAGAGTAGGTCCTGTTGATGAGACCAAAATTTTGCTTGGCCTATCGGACGGGTTTGTATTAGACAACCATTTTCGAACGGAAAGCAAGCACTGTAGACAGGGCCGTTCACTCACATAGTCAAAGCCACTTGGGTCAGTGGCACTGTCATCTTGGAGGAAGAAGCCCGGAACGGCAGAGTAAACGATCGACTTACCCTCTGCTTCAGGCCAAACTGCCTGAGCAGGGGAGAGTAGAGCGAGGGCTGCTGTGAGGAGAAAGCCCTTCATTTTGGGAAAGGCGTAAGATGAGTATTGCGGCCTAATAAATGAGTGAAGAGAAAAAGCAATTAAGGAATATAAGGCGGTCACAGGATCTGCAGGACGAAAGAACACCCCAATCAAGTCAGAAAGAGGTCTAGCAAGGGGAGTGCTTAATATACTCGTGCATTGAAGATCGGCCAGGCGTGGTCTGTCTGCTCATGCGCACGTTCATTTCATCTCATTTCGGTTTTACATCTCACAAACGGCCGTGGCATCTCCACCGTCCCCGATTTCTGGCAGGTTCCTGGATCGGGTCTGTTGCGGTATTGGGGCCGTACCCATGCCGATGCCAATCATTCATCAACGTGGTTCGTCCAGGCACGAGTCTTTATCCTTCTTCGGCCCGGCCCCACTACCCTAAACCAATTCCCAGTTGATCCAGGCACCCGGAGACGCCTCTCATCTAAACACCATCCTAATTGATTTTCGGGTGCAGAAAGCACTTCAGATTTATGCTTACTTGGTCAATTAATTAAGGCAGTCGATCGTGGCTGTTATGCCAAGGGATGTGTCCCTTAGAGTGCGGCGGAAGTGGCATTGTTCTGGGGACAAACTTCAATGTTTAAGCGGCAGATGACGAGTCTGTATTCTTGCGACCCATTTTGAGATTTCTCTCTGTCGGTCAGCTTCCAAGGACAAGAATGCCCATTCAATTAGCCAACGGACCAGCTTACGGGAATGGGTTAATCACGCATGATCTCACCCACATTTCTGGATGATTCCGCACCCACGTGGTCACAACCTTTGACTCTACGTTATATGCATATCATGTTAGCCAACAACACGAGAAATATCTCCACTGACCGATTGCTACCGGTGGCAGACTGTTTAGTGTCTACTATTACCTGGGAAGTGCCGGAGGAGGGGCATCTAGTATTTAGACCCAAAGTTTGTGTGGGCATAGCATGTCACAAGCAAATAGCTTCCTCGGACATGGCCCGACGGCTTTAGAACGATATCACTAAAGAATAGGGCATATGAAAAAGGATGAACAAAAAAACTTATTTGGAAGGGGTGCTACGGTTCTTGCGCTGGATGGAACGAGGTGAAAGTCTAAAGACCTGGAGGCAGGCATGTGGAATTATTCAATCGCCAGGTGATTAACCGATGCCGAAGCCAACTAATGATGGATATCTGGCCGATCATTACCTTTGAGATCGGAGGATGGGTGCGGACTTACACATGCTGGTAGACATTAAAAGTCAACCATTCTTTTTGTCGTCTTTTCCAACGGCCCCACCAGCACTTGGATGGGGACCAAAAAAAAAGTGATTATCGATAAGCCTGCCAAAGAAAATTCATAGCCAATCCGTCCGTGTATCCAAATCAGAGCGAAGAACTATCGTCGTCCACCGCGCTCGACCCAATTCTCAATTAAGATGGCGGGCTCCCAGCTCAAGCGCCTCAAGGCAACCTTGAAGGAGCAAGGAATTGTCGGGCCCCAGCAGTCAAAGAAGCAGAAGCGCAAGGCAGCCCAAGATGATCGCGCCCGAAGCGAGAAGCGACTGCAGAGGGGTGTAGTCCTCGAAGGCATCCGCGAACAGTTCAACCCTTTCGATCTCAAGCATGCCAAGAACCCCAAGTTCGAGGTCACTACGAACCGCCCGGTCACTGCCGCCTCCAGGATCAAAGGCCGTCCCGGCGCTGCCAAGGCCGCGAGCGAAGAAAGGCGGCGGCAGACTCTTCTTGTCGACATGCAGCGACGGCACAAAGTTGGAGGCATTCTGGATCGACGGTTCGGCGAGAATGACCCGACAATGGCCCCCGAGGAAAAAATGCTGGAGCGATTTGCACGGGAAAAGCTCAAAACGCACAAAAAGACTTCCATGTTCGATCTCGAGGACGACGATGACGCTTTTCCCGGAGAGGGTCTGACCCACGGTGGAAAAGCGCTGACGTTCGATGATATGGATGCAATAGACGACTACGAGGAGGATGACATTGATGACGGTGCCAGTGATGTCTCTGAGCGCGAGATGCAGCGTCTCAAGCGAGTAAGAGCCATGGCCGCCGAGGGTGACATGGATCAAGACGACCAACCGGAGCGGAAGAAGTCGAAGAAGGAGGTCATGGAAGAAGTCATTGCCAAGTCCAAAATGCATAGGTACGAGAGGCAAGCCGCAAAGGAGGTGGATGAGGATCTACGAGCCGAACTTGACAAGGAGTTACACGGCATCCAGCACCTTTTGACCCAGAGCTCAAAGCGCCAGACCGAAGAAAAGCCCCAGCCTTCTGCTATCGCAGGTGTGGAGAGAAGTGTATTTGACAAAGACTTCGACCTCCAGGTGAAGAAGCTTGCCCAAGACAAGAGGGCGAAGCCATCTGATCGTACCAAGACCGAGGAGGAAAAGGCAGAGGACGAGTCCAACCGCCTGAAGGAACTCGAGGAGAAGCGGCAGAAGCGAATGAGGGGCGAGTCTGTCTCTGACAGCGATGGTGAGGACGAGGACGAAGAAATGGGCTCTGACGGCTCGCAGGCCGGTGATGAGTCAGAAGACGACTTCGGCCTTGGTAGGGGCATCAACGCAAAGCCAACTGCTGCTGAGCTTGGGTTTGACGATGAGGATGATTTCATCATCGATGACGACCTGGTCGCCAGTGGTTCTGATATCGACTCCGACGAAGAACTTGACCTAGGCTCGGATATGGGTGCCGAAGAAGGCGAGAGCGAGGAAGAAGAAGAAGAGGACGAATTTACAAAAGGTCTATTGAATGAAGAAGAAACGAGAAACCCTGTCTTCAGCATAGACTCTACAACAAAGTCAGCCGATGTTGAGAAGGGCGATGAGAACGGCTTGCCTTATACCTTCCCTTGCCCTCAATCCCTCGAAGAATTTCAATCTGTCACAGCCTCATATCCTGGCACCAGCCTACCTACAATTGTCCAACGGATCAGAGCTCTATATCATCCTAAGCTGGATAGTAAGAATAAGGAGCGTCTTAGGAAGTTTTCTGCCGCTCTGGTTGCCTTCATCTCCTCGCCGTGGGACCCAGAGACCTCACCCCCTTTTTCGGTACTTGAAAGTCTCATCCGCCATATCCACTCCCTCGCAAAGAGCTTCCCTCTTGAAATTGCTCAAGAATTCCGAACGCAGATCGAAGAGGTCAGCAGTGAACGCCCACTGGCGATCCAGCCCGGGGATCTTATCCTTCTGACTGCTGTGGGAACCATCTTTCCCACATCCGACCACTTCCACCAAGTCGTTACCCCCGCGATGCTGGTCATTGCCAGGTACCTAGGACAAAAAGTCCCCCAGGACCTCGCTGATCATGCTATCGGGTCCTACCTCTCTATTTTGACCCTCCAGTACCAGAAACTCGCGAAGAGATATGTACCAGAAGTGTTAAATTTTGCACTGAACACGCTTTGTGCCCTTGCCCCAACTTCCCCATCGGCTGGCGTGGGCTCTTTCCCTCGACATGATCCTCCTGCAAGTCTCCGCGCGAAAGGTGCCAGCCAGGTATCAGTCCGGAAGCTGGGCTTCTCAGACTGTTTACACTCAGATAGCTCGCCCCCAGAACTCAAGGTTGCTATCCTAAACACCGTCTCCCAGATTTCCGATGCCGCAGCCGACACATGGTCCAGCAAGGGTGCGTTCATCGAAACCTTCGGCCAGGTCCTTGAGGTCATTAAGCATCTGAACGCCAAGGCCTGCCGCTCCCACCTCCCCTCAGAGCTGCGCGATCGGACTGAAAAGCTCCAAGTGAAGCTAGAGCGCATGATGAAGATCTCAGGGATTTCCCGACGCCCCCTCGAGCTCCACCATCACAAGCCACTGGCCATCAAGACGTACGTGCCCAAGTTCGAGGAGACGTTCGACCCGGACAAGCACTACGACCCGGACCGCGAGAGGGCAGAGCTGGCGAAGCTCAAGAAGGAGCACAAGCGGGAGCGCAAGGGGGCGATGCGGGAGCTCCGCAAGGATGCCAACTTCATGGCCCGGGAGAACCTGCGGATCAAGAAGGCAAAGGACGAGGCCTACGAGAAGAAGTACAAGAGGCTCGTGGCAGAGATCCAGAGCGAGGAGGGACGCGAGGCGAATGCGTACGAGAGGGAAAAGGCGGCGAGGAAGCGCTCGAGGAACAGGTAAACAGCCCGTGCATGAAAGGAAAAAATTTCAGTCTTTTGGCTTCAGCTTCATTGGCATACTGCATATTACTATATCCGTTTCTAGAATTATTCCACACGCATATTTCATGAAAGGTAGTGCAAGTGAGTATCATGTTCAAAGAGTGACGCAGTAAACGCACATTGTAAAAAACTGTTGGAATATAAGACTCAACAGTCCTCTGGATTACAACCCTTTTAGCCTTCCATCATAAACACCATAACGAAATCCGTAGCCAATAAGATTGGTTTTGTAGTTTTTAAGTATACTCTGATGAATGGGTGCCTGTGTAGTCGTCTTTAAGACAAGGAAGGTCTAAGTGAGGCTATCTGCTGACCTAATATGAACGACTGCCTAAACAAGCTCCGGTCTTGCTTTTTACAAGATGAACGACAACCCGAACAACACAGCCCAAGAAATCTTAAAATTTTGTGAATTGCATTGAGAACCGTCCAATTCATATAGACTGGATTCCTCATGGCGCCCACTCTGTCACAGTCTGGCGGGCCCAGAACGCCAATTGACAATGAAGAAGAAGAGGATGACTACATGAACATGTCATTCGAGGACCCCACGCCAGCAAAGGAGACTTCGATCCAGCGCACCCAGCGCCTAAAAAAGGAGTCGCTTGCTCGTGGCGTTATAAAGTCCAAGGCGCAGCTCGCCGAGGAAGAGGCCGCAGCGCGCGAAAAGGCGCTGTCCACCTCTATGCTGGATGATCCGCGGGCGAAGAAGAGTAAAGGTCTGGCGATGATGGCCAAGATGGGCTTCGCTGGCGGTAGTCTGGGGAAGAAAGCCGAGGATGGTCAGAGCCAGGCGCGGACGGAACCGATCAAGGTCGATATCAAGGGGGACCGCGGAGGCATTGGTCTGGACGCTGAGAAGAAGAGGAAGTTTCAGGAAGCGCAAGAAGAAAGAGGCACCAAGAGCGTCAAAGTAGACCCTTTGGAGTATAGGGACAGAGTCAGGAAGGAGAGGGAAGAGGCTAGGACGGAAAAGCAGTTCTACGCTGCTCAGAGACTGGCCGAAAATCTGGATGACGAGCAGTCAATAAAGGACAACGCGGGAACAGACTCCACAACCTCTGATTCAACGCCTTCACATAAGGATAAGGAAACATCGACTGCGCATGTACCGATGGCCAGTCGGCCTCTGAAGGCCATCCCGGTTCTTTACCGTAGCCTTATCCGTCACCGCGCAGAGAAAGAACGCGATCGACGCATGCGGTATGACTTGGAACAATCACTCTCGCGGCTACCAACGTATGAGGACGAGGACGAGGATGAGGATGCAAAGATGGCATTAGGGAAAGGGCGACATGAGTACGTCACGAGTGCAGATTTGGACGAGGAGGATGCAGAGCTAGATGATTTCAACACACTGGAGGTTTCTGAGCGCCTGCGCCGTCTTCTAGACTATCTCCGGTCACATCATAACTATTGCTTTTGGTGTAAGGCCGCCTATCCGACCTCCGAGATGGAAGGCTGCCCAGGGTTGGCAGAAGAGGACCATGACTAAATCAGACTTCGAAACCACAAATTCCAACGGAAAGACTGTAACTGTAACAAACTTGAATCGCACCTTCGAATATCACTTTTCAACGGATCGAATCATAACCGCCGCATAGAGTTTGAGCCCACATGCTTCTACTCAGCTCCATCTAGAGCGCAATAACTCGTGACCCACAAACCACAGTTCGACCATCATAGCTGTCATTATGGCCATCTGCGTCCCCGATTTTGGCCAGAACCGGAGTTACCGTATAGAGTTTATCGCCTGGGGCCACAGGCCCAAAATAATGATAAGCCTCCTCCTCAGTCAGTCCAGCAGGATCTTTGAAGCTCACGATGAACAAAGCTTTGGATCTCATGAAGATCGTCTGGAGCTCAATCGCCTTGTCGACAAAGCCCAGAACCTCACTCCTGTAGTAGTCCTCCTTGCCTTCGGCAGCAAGGGGCATAAGCTGAGATGCAATCTCATCGGCAAGGCGGGTTTTGGCCTCGACATCAACCTCCAGAATATCGAAGAGCTCATGTGCTGTCTCGGACTTGATCCACGCATAAGTTTGGCCATTGGCTGGGTCTTTGATACATTGCTCTGCCAAGGTAATGTGTTAGAGACAGCACAGCAGACCTTCCAGGCGTTGAAAGAGACCGTTTCACTTACCAGTGATAGCCACTCGCCAGGCGTTGAGAGCAGATGACATGTGTCCACACCAAATCCCGCCGGTGCCTTGGAATATGGCTCTATAGAGTCTCTTCCAAATGAATCGCTGCAGAAATACGTGCCCCTTGCGAGGGTTCTCTCTGATGAGTGCCATGAAATACGGCTCGTCTGCGCTGGCCACCTTGGGTACTGTTGTGTCGAGCAAGTGGAGAGACGTACTCTGGATTATAAATGCCAATCGTGACCATTGTCGTGAGATCTCATCATCACAGACTTTTCGGTACTTGTCTCGTTGCTTGTCAAGTCGGATAGAAAGAAGCTCGTGGTCTACTCCTATCCTCTGGATAAGGTCCTGGAGGCCATCTTTTTGGATCTGTAGTTCTTGGTTTTTACTCTTCAGATGCTGGATTTCCTCATTCAACTGCGCAACGAGATGGTTCGAGGCAGGATTCTTCAAGGCTTCGATCTCTTTCCTCTGGTCTTCGATCTCTTTCCTCTGGTCTTTGATGGCCTCAGCCAGCTTGTTGACTCCGCCGTTGATTTCTTCAGCAATTCGATCGATGCTCTTGCCGGTGTTGATCTTGATCCGTTTAGGAGGTGATTGACCATCGCCGGATCCCACACCCGAGCGCTGGCCTCGCTTCGCCTGGGCATCCTGCTGCTTCTTGCTTTGGCGAGCCGGTTGTTTGGCACTTGAGCCGGCACTTTGTTCGTTGCTCGCACTATGCTGCCTTTTCTTGTTTGGGCGGGAACTTTTCACAGGGGTGGTTCCAGAGCGGTAATCCGAGTCGGCTTCATGGGTGCTCTCTGGCGACGAATAAGAAGCATCGTCCTCTCGGCGCTCTATTGCATTTGGCTGCGGGGTCTCAGGGACCTCGTCAATGGTACCACGGGCTGATGACATGTTTGAGATCCAGGGGCGAGCCCAGGAGGAACTCCGTATGTGTGTGTGGGATGTTTGATAGTTTGGGGACAACAGGAGTTGAAGGAAACAGGGGGGGGGGGCAAGCAGAAGACTTGTAGAAATGATCCAGATGGTGTGTGTAGATGGTGAAGTTTGTCTTGCGTGATGAGTTGCGAGGGGAGCCAGTGGTTTATAAAGTGGGAGGTACGTACCTTCCCTTATTGTGCTCCCGTCCATCTGATTGTCCTTCAATCTGCTCGATTGTGCTTCAAACCCGTCCATTATGCTTCAGTCGCTTCTATTCTACTTCGGCCGCTTCTATTCAACTCCAGTCACTTCTACTAAGACTAGCCCTGCAGCATTGTCCGTGGCCAACCGAACAGGTGAAGTGACTGAGGGCTTCTCTGCTCACTTTTCTCTCACCATGAAAGCTCAACAAGCGAGGTACACTGGTACCTCGGGGGGGGAGACTGCCGGGCCAACTGACAACAACCTCACTTTCTCTTCTCTTCGCCTCCAAGTTTGTTTTTATCCAACATCCACCCCTTCACCATACCTTCCCTTAACAACTCTTCCGCACATCTCTTCTCATCAAACAGCATTTCCTCTTCTCATCGAGCAGAACTTCCTCTTCTTATCGAGCAGAACTTCCTCTTCTTATCGAGCAGAGCCGCGACCTATCCCGTCCACTTACTTTGATTTGTTTGAAAACCCGTGATCCGGGAGACCCCTCCTTTCTTCCTTGCAAATCCCACTTTCTTTTCCTGAGTTGCCAAGATGCCACCGAAAAGAAAGGCAGACCTTGGTCCTGTCGCCGGCCGTAACCCTACAGGCAACTGTTCCACCTACATTGTGATAGGGATCGATTTTGGCACGACGTGAGTTCACATTCTCCTCTTCGTGGACGGCATCTCCGCTAACCTCACTCCAGATATTCCGGTGTTGCATGGGCCCGAGACGCGAAACCTGATGGTCTCAACATGGTCTCAAGCTTTGACGGACCCATGTGGACAAAGTCTCACAATAAACAACAAGTGCCGACCACCATATCCTATAACTCTTGGGGTCGACCGTCAGCATGGGGATATGCGGTCCCTCCAACACAGAAATCCTTGAAATGGTTCAAACTACTTTTGCTCGACAGTGACCACCTCCCAGATCACTTTCGTCATGCGCCCAATTTGATCGAAGCACAAGCCCAGATGAAAGAGATGAACAAGAGTCCTGTGGATGTCATTGCAGACTACTTGCGCCTGCTTTGGGCTCACAGCCTTGAGCAGATAACAAGGGCCGTCACTACTATCGTAATGGACAGAGTGAAGCTCAAGGTAGTTGTTACCATGCCTGCGATTTGGCCGCTATACGCGCGTCTGAGAATGAAGGAAGCCGTCAAAATGGCAGGGATCATGGACCCAAGATGTGCCGGCGAGACGTCCTTGTCATTTATGTCAGAGCCGGAGGCTGCGGCTCTCGCAGCCTTGGCCGATGTGGATGAACAAACAATCATCGAGGTAAGGGAGAACACAGAACAGTACAAAACATCTTTGCCGGGTTCAAATTCATCTAACAAAACTAGGAACAATCTGATTTTGTCGTATGCGATGCTGGTGGTGGTACAGTGGTAAGTACCAAATAGCATTGTTCGCTTAACCACCTTATGATTGAGTTGATTTCGCTGACCCAATTGCATCCCAATAGGATTTGATCACCTATAAAATGATCCAAAATGACCCGATGATTGTTGAGGAATGCGTTAAAGGAGACGGTAAGTTCCCCCTCACACGACACAGTTCGAATTTCAAGCTGCCTTAATATTCGACACTTGGTGAAGTGCTATGGTTAACCACTCGTGAAAATGACAGGCAATCTTTGCGGAGCTGCTGTACTAGATGAGAGGTTCGAGCAGGTTTTCCGGGGCTGCTTGCCAGAGAACGCCTACGATCAGTTGGATGTAAACATTTTGGCCCGGATTCTACATATTGATTGGGAAGATGGGATGAAGACTTCATTCACTGGCTTGGAATTCGAACCTTACAAGATGTTCATGCCCTCCGGCTGCGGTATAAAAGGCATGCCTGACACGGTCAATATCACTCCGTGAGTATTATTTACCCTGAACAACTTCCTACTGCTGTGTTGAGAGGGAACACTGACAAAGAACAGATACAATGTCAGGGAGATATACGAACCTGTAGCAGCAAGCTGTGCAGAACTCCTCAGCAAACAGATGCAAGAAATAAAGAAGGCCCGTAAACGGGAGCCAAAGGTGAGATCCGACTTGCTTCGATCAAATTCTGTTTTTCGATGTGCATGTTTCTGACACATAGACAGTTTATCATTCTAGTGGGTGGCTTAGGCAGTAGTCGCTTCCTCCACCGATACCTTGGAAATGCGTTCGAAGATACGAATATCATTCAGGCTAAGGGAGACCAGCCGTAAGTTACTCAATTTCCCAGACCGTTTAGAAGATACATGATATTCTAGGATGGGAGACGGTTTGAGAAATAGGCTAACAACATTCGCTTTGAATGACAGATGGACCGCCGTCGCCCGCGGAGCCGTTATTCAGGGTCTTTCCACAACTGGGGCTCCTTCAGTTATGTCTATCAAGTCCCGAATTGCCAGAGCCAGCTATGGCACCACGGTGAATATTATCCCATGGGATGCGTCAATGCACGATTCTCGAGACAGACTCTGGTGCCCAATTCAGCAAAACTTTCTCGCTGTTAGTCAGACGCAGTGGTTTCTTCGAATTGTGAGTGGCAAACTGGTGAACTTGAATGAAATGAGCAGTGACAAGGGCTAATCCAAAATACAGGGCGAACAAATCTCTGATGAGCCCTGCAAGGCAACTTTCTGGCAGGATTTTCCCGAGCCGGACACAGAAATCAAGACAGAACTGGTATACTCGGATGCGGAAGTACCACCCTCTCGTTGCGATGATTCAGTGAAGCAACTTTGCGAGATCAAATGGGAGAATATCCCCGGCTTCAACACTCTGCCCGTATGGACAAACACTGAAGGGCAGGAGCTGCGACAGCTCGTCTACGATTTGCAGATGGTATCGGACGGTGTGTCTTTGGACTTTGCCATCGTTCACAAAGGCAAGCGAGTGGCATCCAAGAACGTGTCCGTGGACTTTGAGAAGGTGTCACAACCCGTTGAGTGATCCATGACAGCTGATAATGCAGTGCCCCGGTGTTGAGGGGGCGTCGAAAAGAAGAGCACATCAACGAGAAACATGGTTTGGGGGTGTTTGGAAGACAAGCTACGGTTTGTCGAGCCACATCACCCTTTGGGGTTGGGTCGTCAAAAAGAATAGCATGTAGAGTATTCCGAGTCGCATCACGCCAAGTGGGTGAAATAAAACATGGCATATCGAGATAGTTCAGCACTGAAACTCAACACAATATCACAATAAATGGCCTGGTACTGAGTACAATATTAAGCTAAATATTATAGAATAGTTTATTATTCTCTTATTATACTCTTCTTTTGTGTTTAGTTCAAAAATGAGGTCTCTGTCTCACGCGGAAAGAGCTTTGGTGTGCCATGTTTTATTCCAGCCACTTGCACGCCTTGAGACTTAACTACCACTCAAAGAAATGGCTCAACACAACATTAGGTACTTGCTAGATAGCCCAATGAAATGGACACACCTGAAGATATATTCGAGGCTCCCAGAAGTAATTATTGAGTTTCATGCTGCCAGCCCAAAAGCCTCTTGCATCAGCAATCTTAGTGGCCACTTTCGCGAAATACGCGGTAAGCTAACGTTTCGCCTCGAAGCCCACATCAGTCTAATTATAATCGCCCGCCAGGCAGTAATAAGATGACTTGTTATTACTAGCCCTACATGCAAGCTTGGCATTCCTTTTCTAGGCAGAATTTCATGCCTAGCCCAATCCGCGCCTAGCAGCTGATCCAGCCCAGCTTCATCAGGCAAGGTCCAGGCGTTGGGGCTTGGCTCTTGGATGACTCTTTCCAGGGGTGCGGCCTTCAGCTCTGCCAAATTCTCCCGATCGTCTTCCTCGCCATTCGTTCATTTTATTTTCGGTCGAGGCGCAGTTTGAGTCTCTCGTTTTCCTTTAGCTGGCCGTTGAAGGGCACCTCCCGTCCGCATAATTTTCCCCTCTAATTGCTGGACTTTTCGCTCATTTCTTGTCCCATCGTTGGTTGAGGAGTTGGCTCTCGTTGCGACAGAGGGCAAATAATCGTCTAATTCTATTCTCAGTCGCATTCACTCATTTTCACGCTGCTTCACTCTCGTCTGGTCGTCGCTCAACACTAGCGCTCCAACAATGTCGCAGCCAACCCAGATCATGGCTCCTCAGCAGCTGCCGCCTCCTCAGCAGCTGCCGCCTCCTCATGTCTCGCCCAAGAAGACATGGGGCACCAAGATCGGCTTCCGGATAGCTTCGTTCATCTTCTGTATTGTCATCATCGGCCTCTCTGCTCACCAGGCTACTTCTCGTTACTCTGGGGTTTATGCGCTCGTGTTCATGGTGCCTCCGGTGAGTGCACCCCGAGTCTCCTAGGCACGTTTATATCATGGCGAAATGTCTGGCTAACAACTTCCCATAGGCCGCATTCTCAGCAATCTGGAATGTTGCGGAGGGCATATGCATCCTGGTCCGTCGAGGACGTCGCGGCATGCACCCTGCCGCCATCGTCAGCATCGATCTTCTGGTCTGGCTCGCCTACGTTGGCCTCACCGTAACGTACGCGTTGTTCGGGTGGTACGATGACTATTATTACTACTACTACGACTCCTACAATTCGAGATACAACAGCAGTTCTCCCGGCATCATCCAGGCCATTGTGGCGTTCGGAGCTCTTGAAGTGTATGTCAAACCAACCAACCAACCAACCCCCCTTCCCTCCCAAGAAATCGGAATTCTCGCAATACTAACACACTGCGTCCCTTTGCAGTATCTGCCACTTCAGCCTGTTCGTCATCGGCTGCGTCGAGACCAACATCCGCAACAACGCCGGTCCCCAGATCGTCTACTACGCCGCTCCCCCCGGCATGCAGGTGGTCCCCTTCCCGCCCAACGGTGCCTTCCCCGCCCCGGGCCAGGGCATTGAAGTCCCCCAGAACGCCTACTTCCAGCCCCCCGTGAACGGCTCCTACCCTCCTCAGCAGCCGCATTACTCTTGGGCTCCGGCCCCCGCTCCCGCTGGCGTTTCTCCCCAGTCGAACACCGCCGTGCCACACAAGGAGGGACCTTGAGGATAGCCTGTAGCCTATTATGAGCCCTGGTTTAGTTTTTGGATATGTTTCAAGGATGAAGGTTAGAACTGGCCGAGTGCGCGAGTTCGGTTTTAATTTTGCGTAATCAAGATCTGGTTTAGCTTCTCCGATTTCAGAATGTTATACGAGAGTAAATGTATGAGAGATACCCTTTATAGTCCTGCGTTTCTTCTCAATACCATATGATACGAAATCCTCACTGTCTGTGCTTGTCATGTTCATATAATGTTTGAGAGCAACATATCGGCAAGAGGCCCAAATGAATCAATAACAGGCTTGTTAGACCATGAAGAGGAAGAGAAACAAGAGCACAAACAGTAAAAATGAGTGGTCATGGCATATATTTTGAAAACTTTTCATCTAATAACAACTCCTAGTCATAAGTGGTATAGCTATAGCACACCAAGTGAACGCCACCGCTCCCAGGCCGACCAAGTCGCAATCAATTCCCCACCACAAAGTGCAAGATGGGAGATAACATGGTTTAGTTTGTTCCAGTGCTCGAAGCCACAAGAGAGGGTGCAGAGCTTTCAACAGGTCAAAAGTGGTCAACATGGACCGAGCCTGGCTGAAAGCGACATTTGGGCTCCTGTGTAAGCTGAACATTTACCTCTTCTTTCCCTTTCTCTTGTTGGCCTTGCCTGCTTGCTGAGCGCCGGTTGTCTTTGCCTTGCTGAGAGAGTCGGTGCTCTTCTCGAGAAGCTCAAAGTCCTCACCAGCAGAGTCCGTTCCGGGGGTGTGCTGAGCGTCATCCGAGTCATCATCGATATCAAACTCGACCTCCTGCTTGGCGGCGGGCTTGGGGAGGAAGCGTCCGATGGTGGTGTTGAAAGCCCAGGCAGGCACACGCACAACGGCAGTGTCGAACACAGTAGGCTGAGCTAGTTCCTCAGGCTAGATAGAACAATTTGTTAGTATCAATGAGTAGAGTGAAAAATGGCTATTGTGGAATACTCACGTCGAGGAGAAACTCGTTAACAACACCATCCTCGTCCTCTTCTTCCAGGTAGACATTACCGACGGAGTCAACGACGAGAATCTTGCCATTCTCGGCCACGACCCTCTTACGGGCGGCAGTTGGCGCAGTGGAGGGGTCGCGGGAAACGCTGGCGCTCTTGGCCTTGCGGGCCTTCTTGCCAGTAACGCGAGCATCCTCCTTCTTGGACTCTCTCTCTTGGAGGCGTCTTTGCTTCCTGTTCATGGGCTGAGGCGGGCCATCCTCTTCATCATCTTCCTCGACAGCGGGGACAGGAGTAGGCTCAAGAACAGGGATGACAAACCCCTTGCCCCAGGCGGTCTCGCGTGCGTACTTGACGTAGCGGCCCACAAACTCCTTCTGGCGTTTCCAGCTCATGTAAAGGATGAGGTAGTGGATCGCGCCGCCTCCAACGAGGAAGACGCCAAAGATGGCAGTGCCAAGACCGGGGCGGTAGCGGTCGTAGTAGTAGTCGGTGCCCTTCCAGAGCGGGAAGCCGTTGTTGAGGAAATGATCGTAGCGATCGCGCTCGGGGCCCTTGAGGATGTTGACGATGAGGGAGAGGCGGGCCTGGCGCTCACCAGCGCGCTTGACCGCCGCGGCGAGCTCAGCCTTGGTGGGGGGTTTGGCATTGGGGTTCTTCTTCTTCTTGGCCTTGAGCTGCTGCTTGACCTTGTCGGGGTGCAGCGTCTTGGTCTTCTGGCGGTAGGCCTTGGTGATGTCGTCCTGGCTGGCGTGCGGGCTGATGCCCAGGATGTCGTAGAAGGTGCCCGGGGAGTCGGGCTCGTTGTTGATGAGCTCATCGCGGATGCGGAAAATCTCGCGATCTGTAGCACGGGTTAGTCGGAGGTCCTGTCTTGTCCCGTGTATCCCGCGGAAAACGCGCGCTGCGGCGACAACCTCGCGATTCTTCAGATTGAAGCACGAGGAATAGGAGTGTCGGCCTGGGAACAATATTGATTTTCACGCACCTTCTGTACTCCAGGCAGCCACAAGAGGGCTCAGCATGGCCAGAAGGCCAATTGAAACAAAGGAGACCTTCATGATGGCGTCGCCTCTTGACGAGGAAGAGATGGGAAGAAAGTGTTGCGGGTTGCTCTGATTTTTGATAACACCTAATACATATGTTCTGCGGCTAGTGGCTACCTAAACTAACAATTGGGTGGGTTTCTATTTCAGGATCATCGACCCCCGTAATCAAGCCCCTCCCCACTGTCTAAGAATTGGAGAGTGAGCTCCTTCACCACATCAGCCCAGCCTTGGCGAGTCCAGAGGGTCTCTTACTGTATTTCTGCTATATTGGGAAACGGCTCCATACTATTCTTACCCGCCATGTTCATTCTGTTCAGCCCAGCATCACACGAACTGGCCACGTTACGCAATAATACCATGGATGAGAGTTTGGCTGGTTAAACCAAAGTTCCTTCCTACATGTTACTGGTCGCCTTACCCTATAGATGACCATGATGAATATTCGTCGCAGAGTGGGATAGTGAGATGATGGTCATAATACGTCTTGACATTGGCTTGCGTGTACCTGAATGATATCGACTTGTTCATATGATACAATCAACAAATACAAATGCCAGTGCATATCTTAACGCTCCAGCTGGATATCATTTTCATCCTGATGAGCAATAACACAGTTGATGGTGTTGTTAAATGGTCGCTACTACGGTTTGGCACAAATCCCTAGTCTGGTATTTGAAGTTTGAATTTTTTTTATTTTTTTTTTACCTAGGCTTGAACATTCATAAGCCTTTTAATCGTGAGCGGACGGGAATACGAGCAACAATAATAAAAAGAGAAGGGCAAAGGAAGGAAAAAAAAAAAAAAAAAAAGAACGCTAGCAATTCTACGTTTCGATCGTAGGACCTCCGGGTTATGAGCCCGGCTGGAATTTGTTAGTTTTGGGTTCCAAGTGATGAGTAATTCAGAATTGACTTACCGCGCTTCCACTGCGCCAAATTGCTTTCAGGCGTTGGGGAGGTGGTCACTATTGTAACATACCCAGCTAATGCAGCTTTCCGCATGCAAACCAGCAGTCATGCCTGAGCGCTGCAACCACCCGACAATATGCGCCGCCACGATGAAGTCCAGAATTCATAGAAAATAGATTCGCCGGTGGCCGCCAGCGGATAGAGGGGAATGACACTTTCCTGTTGATGTGCATCAGTAAAGGGGACTGAAGTTGCCGGGCTGCCTAATCCATCCAAGCAAGGGGGCAGATGACAACCTCATCTTGAACTAGGTAGAAGCAGAGTAAAATTGGAAATTTCGTCACCGACACTTCCTCGCCAATAGCTTTCAGAAGGCTTCTTGTTGGAGGCGGCTTTTGACATTAATGCCAGCAGCCTCCGAACCTTGGTATCAGACACATTAAAGCAAGTTCCTGATCTCCCACGAGCGGATCTCCTGGCTCATTTAGCCAGAATGCAAACACCTGGCGCCTAAAGATCTTATATCACTCGAGTTTTCTGCGAGTGGCGTTGAGACTCAGGCTCTCGGTAATGATGAATGTCAACCAAGTGGCATTGGAAAGGTTCGAGACTAGGCAGTTGATCATAAGGGAACAAGGGGAACAAAACTATCGACCCGGTAATGATCCTCCCTGGGGTTGCAGGGCCGGCATTAGAGATCCTTGAACGTTGGAGTCAAATCTCCCACTGAATATGTGGCGCCCGCCTGTCGGGACTGTGGCTGCAGCTGGAAAAGGGAGGTGCGAAGGGAAAAAGAAATACTTTAAAAGTCCCGAAGAGCTAGAACATGGAAGGTGTGTAATAATTGTTAATTACGCGAGGTAGGCTATGGGGGCATTATCAAGCCACGGCTCAAACATGTGTTAGACATCCGTACCGCGAGCCAAACCCAACATTCCAGAAAATCCCAAGAGATCGATCGCATTAGTGCTTCATAGCGCAGGTTGTGGCGCTATTACACAATCTTGACCTCTGCTTCACCGAGCTGTCTCGCATTGGGAGATTAAGGTGCAAAATGTGGCTGTCGTCTCATGTATTTCTATTGCATTGATGGAAGCATGGGCAGCGGTGGGTCACTGTCATCTTAGATCTATCTATTAACGTCGTCACATTTGCGGTCCGTGTGTGATTTTGCCTGGTCAGTGATCAGTATCGTTGTCTGGAGTGAGTAAAGCCGAATGCTGGTCAGGGGCCTTCCAGGACATCGGTGGCCAAGTGGCCCCTTTCATCCCTGAAGATGCTTGGGCTTCGAGCAGTGGGGAGTTGACATGGGTTGGGTTTCTTGCCAGAGCAACAAGCTGAGTTGTCTTGTGACTGATGACGGAGGGTAGGTATCCATGGTGATGATATTGGTGCCTAAATGAGAAGCTGATGAGGCGATGGCCAACTCTTCTCGTACAGCTACTATATTCGTGCCATGCCATGGATGTAGCCAGCGCTTGAGATATCCAGGAACCGCACCAGCCACATCGCCGTCATCAGAAAGACGCGTGGCCTAGCTGGCTCAATGACGCTTTTAATTAGGCACCTTACCCAATTGTAGGTTCGGTAGAAGGAAAAAAGAAAACCAAAAATAATCTGTGTACTTAGACAACCATGGAATTCGGGAAAATCGATGTTCATCATCATATCAAACCGGACTGTGCTTTTGCTTTGTTGTTTAATAAGTCCGGTTTTGGGACCCTTGCCAGTGCACAGCCACCGTGTTCGGTTGACCTCACAGGCCAGAAGGTGTTATTGGCCTCCACTGCGACGTGAAGTGCAATACTACCCCTCGTACCGGCCCCTGTCAGGAAATTTGCGGGCTGTCAGGCACGAGGCTAGGAAGAACGGTCTGGTCAGGGGTAGTGTGGGCACGGGCAAGGGTCTTCACCCGCCTGCGTCGCCAGCAAGTAGGCCTGTTGACGGCCAAGATGGAGGGGGAAGGGATGCTGTGCCATGGGCGATGGAGGTTGATATGGGCAGATGCAGTTGAGGGCTTCCAAGGGGCTTCAAATCGCCGGCAACTCTGGCCCAGGTTACGTATGTCTGCAGGTAGCAGCAACTAGGCGGTGAGCCGTCGATTAGGCGACTTTGAGGAGGTGGTCGTCTGCCGTTCAGGGCCCCAAATCCCTTGATGTTCCCCGACCCTCTTGTGTGCTGGTACCCACGGGGGTACATGCCAAGTACACAGCTGCGACGGCGGACAAAGACCAATGGAACCAGGCAGCATCTTCAACCCCTCACGCTAGGGCACTTGAATCTAGATCGACAATAATCTAGTAGAATCGCCCGGGGATCGGGGAAGGAACAAAGAAGACGGCCAAGAGAAGGGGAAAAAGCAATTATGTATCGCCAGGCTAGCAGTGACTACTGTTCCATGCACATTTCGAGCATTAAACTTAAGGCCAATAGATTGCGCAGATGCACCGATTGCGACGGGAGCTCGGTACAGACTATGCGGATGGGGAGATTGAGATAGCGTTCGCCATGAACGGCACTGATTGGTGAGGCATCCGATCTGCAGGTGGGAGGTAAGACCAGGACCCCACGAGAACGAGGACAGCCAAAACACTCACCTGACAACCACCACCCTCAAGCCCAAAACGGGCAAAAGCGCAGTGATATCAGATGTCATCTGTCCTGACCAGGGTGGGCAGCATACGGGCGAGCAGGTGTCAGGGGCTATATGTATGGGTTGCCTGATCTGGACGTGCCCCATCCCAATTGACCGTCCTCGTCTTTGGGTAAATCAGGGCCTTGGCTCAATGTGAACGCGGACGTACGTGCGGTTGCCCGGTCGTCGGCTTATGCGGAGGCTTGTTCCATGGAGCAGCTGGCAGAGATCAGCAAGGAGCACAGGGAGATGATGCATTGAAACATGCAGTGCGAGATACGTAGACGCAAGACCACGGCCGCTGACATGACCCAGAGCCACTCACGTACAGTCGCCCACCACCTAGCAGCTCCTTAGCGGCTGGGCGACCGCCTACGTGCTCCGGGCCTATGCGACCTCGCGAAGTGCACTAGGCCCTTGCATGCTCGCTCGTACCTGGTTGTAGGTGCATGGGGCGACTCGGCTGCGGCGGTTGTGGCCATCGTACCAGCCAGGAAAGGGAAGATGAGGAGAGGGAACGAGACAGAGGCGATGGAGGGCGAGATACACCAACCGGATACGCTGCCTACGTACTAACCTATTATCTGATCCTGGACGGGCTGGTGCGACCCGTAAGCCACCCCAACGATCGATAAGGTGCAAGTGAGAGACGGTGCCAGCATGTTGCTCCCATCCACTACAAGCAAGTGCTTATCATGTGTACGTGTGAAGATTAGATAGGACCCAAGTCTTATGTAGGTAGCTTCCACTCCAAGCAAGTGCTCTTCCTCAGGGAGATGAGTGAATGGCCCAAGCGGGTATGGGGGAGAGCTTGTCACCACTGGTTAACGACCTCAATGCCGGCGCTGAACACCACCAGTGCATCAAGCATTGTTTACAATGGATGTCCATGTGAATGTACATGCAGGCAGGACCCAGTCGGTACGGTGCTGCACAGTCCGGGCAGTAAAGCACGCAGAATCTAGGTCGCCTGCATGCACACAAACAGTAGCGCTAGTGTGACCTGCAGCTGGCTGCACAGAGGCAAAAGGCTGGTGGAGCGAGTGAGGGAAGCACGCATCTGTGCTGTGCAGGCGTTCTACAGGTACCTGGACCGTACCATCCCGGGCGTGAGGCGACGCATTCGGCAATTCCGTCCACTAGCCCGGGTACGTAACTGGTACGGTCATGGCCCTTTCTGTGGCGCGCTCAAATTGAGGTCTTGCCCCAGCACCAGCCAATTTCCGTGGATCCAGCGAGGGTCTTGGGGCTAAGTACTGCCCTCCGCCCTGCTATTGGTGCGCTGGGCCTGTGGCTCCGTCCTCGAGCACCCCCACAGTTTCCACTCCTTGTCGCCTGGCCCAGTCCACCCAGTCCCAAGTCCTGTTTTCTTCTTGCCCATCCTCTCAGGTCCTCTCTTATGACCATCCGCACTTCTCGTAGCCGCTCCGGCAACCGTTGCGCTTCTTCATCTTTACGCCTGGTGCGATTCCAGCTGCCCTCCTCGCTCCCCGAGACTGCGGCTGGTCTTGACCGTCCATTCCTTTGTTTGCCTGCCTGAGTTTGATTGTCGGTGATAGTGTGTGTTTTTTGTTCTTTCAGCCCAATATTTTATCTACATATTCAGAAGGTTTGTTTGGTTGCCCTCCCCGAGAACTCGGCCCCCCGTCCTTCAAAGACTGGACTTTCGACAAGAATAATGGTCGCCTGGTCGGAGACTAAGGGTTGCTCCCTTTCAAAATTTGGGTTTGCTAAATCTCATCCCAGGATACTTCTACCCTAATTGCCCTTCAACCTGCCTACCGAACCGAACGGAACCTCAACAGTCCATTGCTCGCAAATCGGACGCCTACCGAGCGGAATCCGCCTACTCGACCCGGCTCTTCCTCCTGATGATCTAATAAATCTTCCAGTCATTCAACTGTAGTGTTGCCGCAGTGCGGCTGGAGGAATCATGGCTACCGCATATGGACCCGAGCCGTTCGCTCACCCCAGCGTAAACGCTTTGGTCGTTGAGGATTCAATGGCGGCCAATAGCTACTCACGGGCTGCACCTCCGCCAAACCCAACCTTTAGCTTCCCTGCTCGACTCGACGACGAGGACATGCCATCCCCAAGGACTCCGTCAACTCCCACATTCCCTCGCAGGACCGGAAGGCGCCCAATGTCAGCAGTAGAACCAATGACAGAATCGTACCAACTTACTGCTGAGCCTCTCGACAACAAGTCCATGGGACGTGCGGCCCTTCCTGCCTTCAGTTTCAATCCAGGAGCGTCACTTCCTCCTGATCCAGAGAGTCTGTCCCCCGACTTTCTGCCTTCATCCCCTCAGCTACCACGGACTATTCCACCTGGCCCCCGAGGTGGGCATCGAAGAGGAGGGAGCGAATTTGTTGGTGGTCGGATACGTGAGGGAAATTCGATTGCTGTCCTGAGTGGCAGCCCGACCAAGCAAGAACTAGTATCGGGGTCTCCCAGCCTCATGCCGCCGAGGAGAGGACACCGCCGAGGACTTTCAAGCGCCATGTCAACAAACGATCTATCTCTCCTCTCTCCACCACACCACGATTTCTCGTTCAAAGGAAGTAGTGCTCCAAACAGTCCTACCAACTTCGATCATACACCTACCCTACCGCTAATCTTCCCCGATACTTTTAAATCTGACGCTGAGGAGATTCCGAAGGAAGAAACCCGGAGTTTCGATACGCCAATGGCCGAACCTGTTGAGGAACCCAGTACACCTGATCCAAAGCCTGTGTCGAAGGCTCGTGTTGGATTTTCCGATACACTAGAATTCATCCCTCGACCATTGTCCCTGGTTTCTACAGATACATCCAGCACTGTCACAGTCAGACCCAGTCACAATGTTTCGGGAAGCATATCCTCTTTCGTGTCTGCATCTTCGCCCGATCATCGTGGGACCAGCAGCCCAGTTCTATCTCGCAGCCCGTCGCGAAATACCAACGACTCACGCCCTAGCACCGCTGGTGCGATCCTGGATCGGATTCCTCAAGAAAATAGATTGAGTTCGTCACCTCGTAGGCGTAATTCGATCCCCTCTCTGTTGGATATTGCAGAAGCCAATAAGAATTTGTCTGCAGCTTCTCCTAGTCCATCCAAGACGTCGAAGCGGTGGTCATTTTTCGGTCTGGATTCATTCTCAAATCATTCATCCAGTCCTACTAAAGCACGCCCACACAGTTCCAGTTCTGGGGACTCGGCATCGCGAGCTGTCTCAGGTGGCTCGTCTTCGGAGCATGAGTCTGAGTCCCAGGCTGAGGCTGCGGAGTCGAAGAAACGAACACCGAAGACGGCTGGTGAGAAGAAGGATAGGAGGAAGAGAAGGAAGAAGGTCAAGGGTTGGGCTGGATCCATCTTGCCACGAAAACCGAAGAACCAGGGTGATAAGCAATCGAAATACGCCGTGCGCCCTCCAACGCCCCCATCCTCGGTCCTCCCACCCGATAACGAGGAAGAGGAAGATGCAATCCCTAGTGTTGCAACAATTACCATCTCACCAACCTCACTCGTCATCCCCCCAAGATCATCAGTCACAAACAAGTCGTTTTCCAAGTCAGACGAAGTCTTGTCTCCCATGATTGACTTGGACGCTGCTCTCGGCCCTTTCAACACTCCTCTACCCAACAATCCTGAATGGGACGCCGCTCAGCGAGCTGCTGGAAATGCTGGAAAGCGAAGACTTCATAGTGCACAGGGTATGAGGGGGTTTAGCGGCCCAGGCATGCACTATCATCGAAGGGCTGAGTCTGCCCCAGACCTCCCTCCCTTCGATGCTGCTAGGGCTGGTATCCATCGCTTCGGCAGCTCATCCACTATGGCAGATGTGTTCGAAGAGGATGAGGAGGATGACACAACCAGTAGTATGCGCTCTATAAGTAGAGACAGCACTATGTCTGACGACTCAAGTGGGGAGATCACACCTCCTGCAGTCGTGCAAAGTGATCCGGTCAAAGACGCGGTTATTGGTGTTCGACGGAAAAGCTCTGGGCTCAGCGAGAGAGAATCATCAAGTGCGGATTCTATCCGTGTTCGACGATCAAAGGCATCTCTTCACGATACTCCGATTGCTGAGGAATCAACCACGATTCGGTTCAACTCGAACACATTTCAATCCGAATCAAAAGGTTCTCCTCATTTATCATCCAAGAGCCCCATGTCTGGAATCGGACCATTCGAACTTGGCCCACCCCAGGCTCCTTATGCTGGCGGGTCGACCGTTAGCCCCCACTCGGCGAACTTCCCACCGTCCGTACCGAGGTCCCCCGTCTCCATCGACACGCAGAGGTTGTCGACGGCTCCGTCATCCGTCCATGAAGAAAACAGTTTCCACTCTCTTCTTCTCGGCGAGCCCGGACCCGAGGTTCGCCTTTCAGTCGACTATGATATTCCATCCCTAACCTCGAGCAACTCCACAACAACAAGGGAAAGCTGTTTTGTTCCTCAGCCGCGAATGTCTCAACCCACCCTGAGACAGCCAAGGCCGCTTTCGGTATCATCTACAGCCTTTGGTCGTAGGCGATCCAGCTTGGCTAGTCTCAGCAGGCTTATCAGCAGTTCCCATGGTGAAAGGAGCAAGCTGTCGGAGGAAGTAACACTAGACCCTGAAGCAGAAAGCAAGAAGGCTAAAGGCGGCAAAGCTAAACGCCTCAGCAAGTTGATGCAGTTTTGGAAGACAAGCAAGGATACAACTACGTCATCCAAACGCTCCTGATCTTGAGGCGCGAAATTTTGTCGAAATATTAGTGTCAAATCATTTTGGCATATCTCAAAGACATGTGCTACAGGTCTTTGATTGTACAGGGTATATTTGAATTTGAAGAGTTGGCCAAGTAATGTAGGTCAGACTGACCAACCTTGCGCCAAGGGCTGGTTTAAGCATTACATATCATGTATCGCTCGGGTATTTTTGGCGTTTGACGAAGGCATGATTTTTTTCTTGTCAACCATCTATATGGATCTCACGGTTGTTGAGCGCAGCGGGGTGGTGGCGAGCAATAGACGCTGAAAGCGACAATGGAGTTATGTACCGCCTTGTCCCTCGTTTCGGGGGGCAAGGTTGCTTGCATCGCGTTTGTTTGGGTTAAGAGTTGTGTTTATTTTGAGGGTACTATTTAGACTGCCCAGGATGAAATGAAACCGCTTTTGATACATGCTGAATTCCTGATGAGTATTGTTATGTGGTGACGTGACTAGAAAATCATTATATGCTCCCCGATGCTGGTTAACAGGCGTGTGGAGTGTACTACGTAGTCCTTGTATGAGAATGTCCCAGCCCCCTGCACATAAACACGCAAAGGGGTTTATCAGATGTCGTCTTGATCATAGTCTAACATGAGCTCGAAGGCAAGCGAGAACGTGTGAAGCGATATCCAATTGTCTTGAAAACGCCGGGTAAATAAATTAGCTATGTCACTTAATCCACGTGGATGAAGGCTACACTTTCCTCGGGTTTCAGTGCCAGACGGCAACAAGGCGCCAAATGTCTCGTCTGAGGAATGATGACGAGATACACGTGTGACAAGAGAATGTCAAGAATATGAAAATAAATGGCGATCATCCCATCATCTAATGAAAAATTCCCACAAAAAAAAGACGCCGTGTTCCCCGATCCCTCATGACCAATACATCTACTCACGGGGGTTCAAGACCCCGAGGAACAGTCAATAACCTAAAGCATCAAATGTGACTCATATCATAAACCTCCTCACAGATTTCCCCCAGATTCAATTCAAACAGTCAACAGGCTCAGAGGAACATCTTGCTGATCCCTTTCGTGACAGCCTCGCCCCAGTTGGTCTCCCCCTCGCTGCGGTAGCTCCGCTCCCAGGCCATGCCGTCGTCGTAGCCGCTGGCGTTGACACGGACCGAGGCAGGGGCGGCGGCAGCACCACCGCCGCTGGCCATGCGGACAGCTTCGCCGACCAGGCCGGCAGTGTCGCCGGTGACGGCCTTGGAGGCGACGCCCATGAGGCGCTCGAGAGACCCGGGCAGGCGCAGGCCGAAGCGGGCGAGGAGCGCGGTCAGGATACCGCCGCTGATGAGGGGCATGATGACGAGGAAGAAGACCTTCCAGGGGTGGCGCTTGGCCCAGTGGGCGAGGTCGCGCAGGAGGCGCTTGAGCTGCTTGTAGGAGCGCTGGAGGAAGCCCTGGCGGGAGGAGCGCTTGTAGTAGGAGGGTTTGCCTTGACTCGATTGTTAGCTGCTTGCGCCTTGCTTACAGGGTAGGGTAGGGGAGAGGGGGAGGCTGGGGATGGCATTGAGAGAGGAGGGGAGGACTCGTACCTCCAAAGTTGAAGAAGCTTGAGCGGCTGCCATTGCGGTCATCGCCGAGATTGAAAAAGGAGGCCTTCGATGAGGAGAAGTTCTTGTAGTTGTCGCCTCCGAAGATGGAGCCGAGGCCGCTGCCTTTGCCTCTGCCACGGGAGCTGGATCGGGAGCGCGACCTGGAGCGCTTCTTCTTGTGGTGGGAGCGCGAGGAGTGGCGGCGATGAGATTTTGTGCCCGAGATGACGGACAATGAATCGTCGAAGAAACCCATGGTGGAAATGCGGTCGTGGATGCGATTGAGGGTGAAGGGTGTTGAAGAGCAAATGCGGGTAGTGAGTCTACCGCTGCGACGATGCACCGACCCTCTTCCGGATGAATGCGATGCGATGCGAAGCTCAATCGAGGGATTGCGCTCTCAAAGCAGACGAGAAAGACTATATACGCGATGCGATATAGCGCAGCTGCAAGCTCGTCGGTTTGGAGGTCGAATCGAAGCTCCTCAGCAAACCAGCTAGATGGTGTCTCTGCTAGATTGGTTGAATTGGCAAGCTGCGCGGGCGCAAGAGCGGGAGAGTGGTGTTCAAGCGAGGGGCTCAGACCAGACCTGCTCCTTGCTCTTTAACCGTCCCGTAATATATGGTGGGCGCCGCTACAAACGCTTGGAATCAAGCAAATGTTCATGCAAAGAGAAATATGCAAGTAACAAAACGGGAGAGGGATTGGCCGGATAGTGAGGGAGTGGAGAGAGAGGGTCTCGTTCGTGCAAGGCCCCTTCACCGTAAATTCGAATGGCTGGTCAGCAGGAGACTGGGCCGATCCTTCTCAGCTATCACCCGCTTGGCAGGGGTCCAGACTTCCTGGGAAGTCGATCTTTCAATCAACAAGCAGACAACTATCCACAGCTTATTACTGGCCTTTCAACTGGGCTGCTTCTGTGAGGGGAATATATCTGGAGTTTCAGTTGGACTAACACTATCAGGTGTAATTCAATGTCTTCTCAGGTTGTGAATTCAGTATGTGCTCGAGCCTTCGGCTGGTGGGTACGGGGCGCAGCGAACTTGAGACCTCCCCATTGACCTCTATCACAAAACGAGTCAGAAGGGCGCATGAAACTAACACAATGTGTTGAATAAAACAAATCTCGTGAGTTGTTTGAACCTGCTGTCAACGTAGTCTATCCGTATACGCTTTCGGGTAGATACCTTAGCTCCTAGCTTTCGCCATGTCAAATATCCGTTATTCCCTGCCAACATTTAGCATCTGCCAATGAGACGAAGTATAGTGAAATAAATAAAGACATGTACCAACGCGAGCTCATATCCAAAAACAGGCTCTTCTTTTGCATTCAATTTAGTTGCATGACAGAAAATATTCCCTCAGGTATCTGACTGTCAGTGGCATTGTCGCCAGAGGCTTCTTACACATCACAGGCTTTGTAATAGGGGTGCATTAGTCCTGTATGGACTTGCAGGTGAAACAAGCATCTACAAATACAGGTACTAGTATAGGATAGCACGGTCGATAGCTGCCAGAATATTCACATTAGTAACTCCTAACCACCCCAAATACTTATTAGTCTCGAATGCAATGTTGAACTAGAATTGCATAACCTCGTCTATTCCCATCTATCGAGCAGATACAGAATCAATCGCTCAATCGCAAAGGTTAAGCGGGATGGACCCACCACCCTGTAAATCGCCGACATGGTAAGCCGCGCTAGTGCGATAGTTACACCGCTTTCCAAATTCGATCCCCCGCCATCGAAAGGACCGGCAATAATTATACGCTGAAAAAAAAATCCGTGATTCGCAACACCGCTTTCTCGGCACAGGACGGTTTGAAGCAGACATACCCACGAGACCATGGCTGCAGACAACGAAACCGCCCCGGCGACGGCTGTGGCCCCTCCGAAGCCGCATGGCATGCGAGTCAATGGTAAGTTGCTTTTTTCCCCTTCATCCTGCATCAGGTTTTGCGACGAGGCATAAGATCTAACTAAGGCTTCAGGAAAGAAATGGCTCCCGACCAAGAAGGCCTTCCGACCAAGCGCTGGTCTGTCATCATTTGCCAAGCGCGCCAAGGAGCGCGTATTGTTGGACCAGGTGAAGGCTAAGGAGAAGGAGATGAAGGATGAGAAGGAGCAGGAGCGCCAGGTAGGTTTTCCATCCACGACCCCATGCGTCGCACATGCTAACATTTTGGGCGCAGAGGAAGATAGATTTCATCCGGGAGAAGAGAGCAAAGAAGGAAGAGAAGGAGCGATATGAAAAGATGGCCGAGAAGATGCATCGCAAGCGTGTGGAACGATTGAAGCGGAAGGAGAAGCGCAACAAGCTGATTAACTCCTGATGTGAAAATACATATTCAACAAAATAATTCGATACCCAATGATTCACGATTCAGTACTGGTTGTCGACTGTGAAGAAAGGAGGCGAAGAAAGAGGGCATGGCCCAGCGCCTGGGTCGCCTCCTACTCTACGCTAATACATTGATTTTTTGAAGAGACATTTGTCTAGATGCATTCCAGTCTCGTTTCGTTCCTTACTACTTCCGAGCTCTATCATTATGAAAAATTGCCAATTTAGCCGAAGCCTCGCTGATATTAATGATATGTGCATCATCATGTATACATATATGCACAGTCTATTGTTTATATTTTATTCTAAAAGATCTGAAATGATCAGACTCCACGCCAAAGCTCATAAAAAGGAAGAGAAAAGGTCAATCCAATCAGTTGAGGTTCAATGCCCAGAACCTGGACAACACCGCAACGTGTATGTATATATGCATATATGCTCGTACGCAATTCCAGGCTCAGAAGATGACAATCCAATATTCTATTCAAGGTTCTGTTGGGCCTGGATTTGGACAAGAAGGGCAAATGGTCTCTTTCGCGCTCTAAAACTGGACAGCGAGCTGTGGTATCCTCGCTGAGCTAGGTAACACCAACACGTTTAAAACCCCGCACCGAGTCTTTGAGAGAGGAGCTCCTCAGTCTTTGCGTAGACCGCATCGGGGCTTTGTGTAGCATCAATCTTGACGACCTTGCCCTCCTTCTCGTAGTAGTCAATGACGGGCATGCTCGTCTCGACGAACGTCTTGAACCGCTTGCGAATGCTGTCGGCGTTGTCGTCGGATCGGCCACTCGTCTTGCCGCGCTCGAGCAGACGCTCCTCCATGACGTTCTCGGGGCAGTCGAAGAAGAGTACGAGCTTGGCGGGGCAGACGATCTCCTCGAATGAGTGGGCCTGGTCCATCTTGCGAGGGAAGCCGTCGATCAGGAAGCGGCCGGTGGCCTTGCCAGTTTGGGTCAAGATATCTCGCATGGCGTTCTTGAGGAGGTTGATTGTAACCTCCGAGGGTACAATCTTTCCATCCTTGATATATTCGCGGATCAGGTCGCCGTACTCTGAACCCTCACGTTGCTGTTCGGCGCGGAGAAGGTCGCCCGCAGAGAGATGGCTGAAACCATGGCCGGAGACGAGCTTGGCGCATTGGGTGCCCTTTCCTGCGCCGGGGCCACCGAGGACGAAGACGACAGTAACGTCTTTCGGGTCGAAGGCGGGCGATTCCTTGGTTGTGGGAGCCATATTTGCGTTGTCCTTGGAAGGTTGGAGGGGCTGTGAGTTGAAGTCAGGGGGTTGAGGATAACGAGGGGTAGCTGCGAGTTGTGGTTTATGTAGCTGCGGTCCGTGCATTCCACACTATCGGTTACCCTGTAGTTGCTAGTTCTTGCAATGCCTACTACATCTGCTAGGCCGTCAAGCTATTGTTTGTTGGTGCATATCTTAGATTGGTACTATGGCAGTTGACTTTCAAGTATAGCATAGGGTTTCTTTTGTATTTGCTTTGCTTTTCCTTCTTCTAATTCTAGTGAGCCTCATTTGCACATGTCTGTTTCACCTGTAAATCCCGTATGTGAGCAATCTCCACAATTCAAAGCTGGAGTGGGTTGACCTTCAGAGGTCGAAGAATGGACCCACTTCCCTAATGCCGCGGTTCTGATATTAATAGCGGATGCTATCCGCAGTTATCACCATCAGCTCAGAGCTGCCCCTGATAAGATTGCGTCAGTGTTTCAATTCCTCCGTGCAACCATGGCATCCCAACAATAACGAGCCATGTCAAACCTAGGCGGGCGTGAGGCGTCGGCCTCCATCTCTCGCACGGGATCTACTAGCAGGCATCAAGTCAAGCGCTCCATCAGCGAGATCGCAGCGCCGATTCTGCCAAGGAGTGGCCACTCACGGCATCAGTCGCACCTCTCCCAGCACCTGCGAAAGGAACGATACAATGACCAGCCGGCCCAGCCTGGATATCAGATGCCAGCACGATACTCCCTTGACATTTCGCGGCCAGATGTGCTCTCGCACAGTCGTCACCCCAGCATGATGGGCGTGGCGAAGGACGAGAACAGGAGCAGAACAAGCATTCTCGAGGCTGAACGCAAAGCCAGCAAGCAGGACCTTCTCCGCCAGGAGCGTGAGAAGGCAAAGTCCAGGGCAGAGTAAGTTACCTCTTGGGCAAAGTATTGTTCAGCCAAAGCTAACTGGTACTTTCTCTCCAGTGGCCTGAAACAGTCGCTCGTCCAACTCCACACGTTCTCGACGACGGCAACGAGACGCCTCGACCAGACATATTACGCCATTTTAGAAAAAACGAGTGCGCTGCAAGGAACAGTGGCAGCCCTCAAGGATCTCACGGAAAGTTCTAGGGAAATTTATACAACATTCGAGAAGGACTCGAAGGACCTGGAAACAGATATTACCAGCCAACTGGATGCACTTGGGCATTTCGATGAGCAGCAGACCAAGATCGAGTCACTACGAGATCGTATTCATGAAGGCAGAGCAAAGGTCCAGGCCCTCAGCGCCCGCGTCGATTCTGTCAGAGAGCGTGTCGAGGGTTGGGAGCGAGCGGATCAGGAATGGCGAGACAAGACTCGGAAACGACTAAGAGTGGTCTGGACTGCCATTTTCCTCCTGCTTGTTATCATCGCCGGGCTGTTTATGATGTTGAGTCCTGGACGCTCCTTGCCATCACCGTCTCCCGAGGATACGTCGGACTCGCTGAGGGACGCGCCATTGATGGACACGCCACTGAGGGACACATCACCGAACATCCCCGAACTAGACCATGTACCGCTGGCAGATGCGGGTGGAGTTTCTCCCGTAAGCGACCGTACATTAAACTTTACGGATATGTCTTTGGTGTGGGCACGGCCTGCGGAGACTGAAGATCGACTACGAGAGTTTGACGAGTTGTGAATCACCTAGACCTATCATGTTTTCGTTGGTCCTGCAATGGTGGATATTTTGATGCGCCTGCCTTCTGCTACTCTTCTACATATGCAATAAGATACCCATTTATTTCTTGATTTTAAGAATAGTTGCTCGGCTGCAATTGCCCCAGTAATCATGTATTGCGAACAGCCTCATATTTGCATCACGTGGACTTTGATATGGCTGACGAGAAAATGCTTACCTTCGCAACGGCTGACCAACTGAATCTGTGACCTGAATCCTTGCCCTGCATGTGGATGACGTAGTAGGTGGTGGTGGATGACTGCCTCATTTCGTTTTGTAGAGGTAAGCTTATGAAGCTCCTGACATCATGGAGAAAACGCGTCTTTTCAGTACCAAGCTTCGTCTCCCTGTTGGTACGTATGCGAGATGCCCGACATATTTTGTTGCCAGGCAATTTGGATCGGCTTTCCAGATATGGCAGTATTAGAGGCATGCATGTCTCTATTCGGGGTATAAGTGCGCGCTGCATGTCAGATACACATTAGCTCTATTCTGCATCCTGCGAAGACATTCAGCGTGGTACGTGCCAGCCCTACGATTGACCCTGATTACACATGCACAAATACGGTACAGCTGGAGACCAACCCAGGCTTCTGGATCCCGGGACTCGTGTTTCCCTTGGATCACCAACTGTTGGCTGGTGAATAGGATTACACGGCTTGGTGCTTGGGTCTAGTAACATGCGTCCCCAGCCACAGGACCCAACAGTTACTGCTACGGGCAAGTTGCCGCGATTAATCGAAAATCTGGACCCGGGTCTTTTTTGGCCGTTTGTCGCCTTGGTGAGGCACATTCGCCTTGTTAGCAGGCTTGGCAGCGCGGTCCACGTCATACCCCGCCATAGGGAGCTGAAGAGAAATTGCCATTGGCACCGGCGTAGGTAATTTTAGCTGGCGGCGGTTAGTCGGTAGCACATCGCAATGCTACCTCCTACCTTACCTTGCACCTCGCCTCTATAACTAGATTCCCTTGTGTTGAGCCTGTGATATCTCCTCCATCTTCCCAGACCCGATTGCTCGGTAGGGCCAGCTGGGAGATTCTGGCCTCGTCCCTCCCGCTGTCCCGCCTCTCGTGATCACTCACTCCCAGCTGCCTGACCAAGGTCACGCCAAGCTGCAGCGTTGGGTCCCGCCAAGACCGACGAGCATTGTCGACGAGGTAGGTCCATAGGCTTTCCGTCAGCCCTTCTGCCCTACCTACTCTTTCGTCCGCTAGCCCCTCCCAAGTTACGCGCGTCCCCAGCCCAGATCTTTCAGCTTGGCGCCCATTCCGCACCGCTGCCAATACGCGTTGCGCTCGAGGAGCAGGCCCCGAAGTCTCCCCGCCTTTTTGGCCTTGGTTTGGGACGGCACGTATCTCCCGCCTGGCTAACATCAAAACCCAACGTAGGAACATACAACTCCTTCCGGGCCAAACTTCCACCCTCTCGCCGTTCTCCCCTCGACGACGACGACCTCGTTTGAGTGATGGCTGCGGGAGACGCTGAGAAGCCCGACGGCGATGGCGGGGTTGCTGCCCCGGCTGCTGGATCCACTATCGAGCTGCCCATCCGAAAGGCCAGCGAGGGAGGCTCTCCTCCACCGGGCCAGTCGTTGACCGGAAAGCAAGAGCACTGTACGTGGCAATTGGCGGTTTCTGCCGCTGCGGGCGGTTTGTGCCAGTGACTAACGCGAGTGGGATATCACAGATCTGAAGCGCGAGCTCGTGTCGGAGCAGGTGAGATGGGAGATCAACGAGCTTAACTCCCCCACGGCCTTGCGCCGCTTCGGAGCCCCCTTCAAGTCCGACCACGGCGAGGTCGCCCCCGAGGATTCGGAACTCCCGATCCTGCGCTACATCTTTGTCAACCATATTCGCGATTTCCCTTTTCTTGATAAGGCTCGGGAGAAGGAGTTTTGGCAGGATAAGCTGCAAGTGGTATGTCTGCCCAGAGGGACCCCACCACTCGTTTCCGCCCCCAGCCGTTCTGTTGCGCAGGCCACGACGACTAACTAGAGAATCACCTTGGATAGTTTCTGGAGTCTTTCGCCGGGAAACGAATCTCATCCTCCGAGGACCGGCTCGAGGAGACCAAGCGACGCAAGCTGGCGATTAAGGCTAGGAAGCTGGTCGAGCTGATGATGGTTTCTGGAATACGAACATCTTCCGGTTTCGAAGAGCGCATCCGTTTCTCCGAGCTCGAAATAGTCGACGCCAACGCCATAGACACGGGGGTTCAGTTCAACATCCCCGAGGGCAATTACATCAATGGCTGGGACGTCAACGTTTCTGGTGTGCGGGTGACGACCGTCAGGGGAATCCTCCGAAGCCAGAAGCACGCGGAGTTTATCCTGAGGATCAAGAAGAAGGGCGAGCTTGAGCATTTCGTCACCCGCAGGTATGGCGACTTCCATAGGCTTCATCGGCGCTTGAGGTTGGAGCTCCCAGGAAGGACACTGCCAGCCATGCCGCAGAAGAACAAGTCGGATTCGACTGCGAACGGGATCCTGTCATCTTTGGGATCTGGGAATGGCGACGAATCGGATGCTTCCTCGGTCTCCTCTGGCGGAACGCGCATAACAAGCCGCTCGGGACTGAAGACTAAATCCTTACTTTCCCCAACTGACGCAGGTGAGAAAGGGAGTTTCTGGCCATGGTAGCTCTATTGTGTGCCTTGTGCTAATTTACCTCCTAGGAAATCGTCGAGAAATCTCATCAAGTGCTGCTTCCATCAGGTCCAGTCTTTCGCGAAAAGTGGCTTCACCCAGAACCTCTGCAGATGGTCGCCTTACGCCGTTGTCGCCAAAAGACCAAGAAAAGAAAGAAGTGAGTTGGGTTGTTCGCTTCCATGGTTCGTTTTTATCTAATACCTTGTTAGGACATCGTTCTTTGGCGAGAGAAGCAAAGAGTCTCTCTGCGGGCCTTCATCCGATCTCTTCTCCACAACCCCCAGATTGCCAACACCAAGGCTGTACAGGAGTTCCTGAGTGGCGACCCGATCACGCCGACTGATGAAGATGTTGACGATATCATCCGACGAAAACTCATTGATGAGAAACGGATAGAGGAACAGAAGAAGTTCTACGAGATAGCCCGCAAGAGAGCTGCGGACCTCGATGAATATATGGAACAGTGAGTATAGCAGGTTGAACGGTGTGGTAGAACGCTGATTTGCTAATGTTTTGCCTCAGGTTCCGTCGAGATATCGTGGAAAGCCATGGTCTGACCAAGCTGTTCGCTGAAATTAAAGAAAAGGAAACGATTCCCGATCTGAGCATTCAGTATCGAAAGTTCGCTGAATGGCTTCGCATTGAGATCGCCGCCGTCATCTACCATGTGTTCCTTGCCGAAGATAATTCCCCAGAGTTGTTTGCACAGGCCAGGAGGATCCACTCGCTGGTGCCGTACACTGTTATTAAGAACGTCATCCGGATTGCCAACCCAGCGGCTGTGATGTCTGGGATTCTCGATGTTTTCCTCGCACAGCCTTTTGGTACCCGTTCACTCTTGCAGCGCATCTTCTCTCTGACTCTCAATGAAGGTATAAGAAGCTTCCAGAAGTCCATTGACATTCTCAATGCCAAGACTGGGGACCCGGTGTTTGCTGAGAAGATTTATGCCTACACAAATGCCGACCAAAGTGTCCACGAGGCCATCCGAGAGGAGGCGGAAGCCGATGGTCTTGATATTATTGTGACGCTTCTGAGATCCGATTTGATCGAGCCGGAGTTGTCTGGTGAACAGATCGAACGTCTGTTTAATGCATATGTTGCCTTCAACAACGCCGTGGAGAATATTGACGAGGAGATGCGCGAGGGAGCCCAGTTATTCTCATATCTGAAGCAAATGATGAAGCTCTGCACGCGGCAGCGGGACAAGCAAATGATGCTTGAGCTGATCGAGCAGCCCGTCACCCTGCAACTCTTCCGGGATCTGTTCACTATCTTCTACGAGCCTTTGGTGAGGGTATATAAATCAGCAAACGTTTATAACAGCGTCACGGACTTTGCCGTTTTTGTCGATGATATCATTCAGGTATGTCCGAAGGAAAAATCTTTTCAAATCTTGGAGGCCCCCCTTTAGATGGCTAACGATGCTGAAATAGGTGGTTGATAAATGCCGGGAGCAAGATGCTTCTGCTGATCCCAATCAGACTGTTCAGGCTTTCATCGATCTTTGCGAGAGGCACGAGCACAACTTTTATAAGTTTGTTCACGAAGTTCACGTCCATGATAACGGGCTGTTTACACAGCTCATGGGATGGATCGAAGGAATTCTCGAGTTCCTCCGCCACGGTCCCAATAACGGAACACTGGACGTCAACGCACTCTTCGAGGGCGGGGTTAACAGTGGACTAAACAAGGAGAAGGCGATTGCAGAAATCAACTCTCTCATCGCCTGGCAGGAGGCCCGTAAGAGGTGGCACACGGACAAGACAAGACAGAAGCTTGCTGCCGAGGCTCACCACGACACGGGTCTGATTGGCTCTGGCTTCAAAACATCTGATTTTGGATTGGATGGGCAAGATCTCGAGGACATGACATATGATGATGGCTCGGACGAGGAGGCAGAAGCTCAACTGGAGGACGAACTGGATCCTATAGAGGCCGAGCGACGACGACGCGCGAAGCGACAGGATCGCTTGCGACGGTCGGCGGGAGAGCCCCCGAAACCGCATGTTGAGGAGGTCCATAAGCTCAAGGAGAATTTCCTGGTGATGCTGAGGCAGGTTCTGGCAAAATAGACGGTTCGCTGCACACATATTATAGACTTTTTATATTTCGAAGCAGGAGGTGGGGTTTTGGGGTTAGAAGTTTGTGGTATCATGCATTGATCTGGCGAGGAGGCGTGTCAGGAAATCTGGCACCCAATTGTTCACTTCTCATTTTGAACATGTTACGAGATTGTTAGGGGCCTGTTGAGATAGACCTATGGATTGGCAGTTGTCTTGGTCCAGGCTTGTCAATGATGGCGTTGCTTGATGGGCTGACTTCAACTCGAGGTCTTGTAGATTTGCGATAAAGGGAGGGTTGCATTGGACGATAGTGGTATATATATCTATTTTGGTATACATAATGAGAGAAAGTACCAATTAAATTTCCCTCCTTTGGATATAACGTATCTAGTTCCACCCGGGTGTTTAAAGCTACCTTACACGATGGTATGACGACGAAACTCCAGACCCCAATGAATATAGAGAAAGCACTCGGGGAGGGGCAATCTCGTCTTGGAGAATCCTAGATCAACTCTTAGGTGATGGAAAAATGAGACTTTTTTTAACCATACTATTTATCTTGTCCTGTGTAGTATAGTCGACCTCATGGGCATAGTTCTTATCTCCACCGTCAGTGTGGTGTGAAATACCTTGCCTGTCATTGGTGTTGAGTTGATGATGCAAGGTAACGCAATGAGAGCTCTTGGGTGGTGTGGAGCCAATGACCTGTTTCGACTCAGCAGAGGTCGTTGTTGTCTAACTCCCATACCCTTTGGATAATACAAAGCCCGGTGTGATCCTCGAGGTCTCGTTTATTACCAAGATAACTAGACGTTCTATGTCATAGGACACGTCTAATCTCACAGCATCATTTTGGATCAGAACTTGAGTTAATATCCCTGCCTTAGTCAAAGTCAAACTGGATTACAGAGTGAGACCGAGATCTGCGAGGGATGTATCTGAAAAAGAAGATTTTATAGAGAATGTCCGTTTGAAGTGGCGTCCATTTCAAGTTCGCCTTTGCAGCCAAGCATGGGGACAAAATATTAATTACTCTCATAATGTCATTTTGTTGTTTCTGTGATCATCTTGGTAAACTGATAGGCTTCATTCGTATCTTTCCACTTTACTGGCATAAAACTCTATGGCTGTTGACTTTTAATGCATGTACGGTATGGATGTATCTTGAGTGAGCCCCGCCTTTCCAGTTGAGGCTCCAGGAGTCCACACGTAGCCACTCGTGTGATAGCAGATTGCGGGGTGAGTGTGTGCCCCTTTAAATTTTAATAGACAGACGGAACCTTGGGCTGGCCACGGGATTGGAAGAAATAATTGGCATAGAATCAGAAGCCCGACTAAGCAAGAGGTACTCGGGTTTGGATGATGTCGCTCCTTCCCTCCCAGACGGCTTCCAGGTATTCGGGTAGGTGCGGGCGATGGTGTGGTTGCATTGGATATTCGAACACGCTGCCGAAGGTTCCGTGCTGCCAAAGATACGACGTCAGGCACCAGATCGAAGTTCAGTGCTGATCGGAACCGATCAGATCAGCAATTGGATGGGTGCAGTCACCGTAACGTAAAATTCTCACCCTGCCTGCGCACCTCGTGACATTGGCTTTTCGATCAAGTGACTGGTTTCAATCTGCTGCATATGCACTAGTCAGCAGCCACCCCGCGGGGGCCTACAAATGAAAGCGCCGATGCGTATCAGTGCACCCCCGCAGTGGATAGACAGTGGACAGGGGCTGATTGTATTTTCCAGATCAGTTGGGGCTTTGTTCTTGGCTTCCCCCTCCAACCAGATTATGTTTCTTTCTCATCCTGGACTAATTTTTCTTTTTTTTTCCCTTTCCCTCACCCACTGGAATTGGCCATTGATCGACTTATAGATTTTTTTGCTCATACGCTGTCCAGTTTTACAACCTCCATTGGGAGCAATACCAATGCCATTCATACACCCCGCTCGGTTGGATCCGGATAACCACGGCCCAGGAACACCCGTCAGTGTTGACGTGATGAGCGCAACACATTTGTCAAAATCAAAATCCCGGCTAGGGTCAAAATTGAAAAGATATGACCTGGGAAAGAGGAGGCGTGGGAGGACCAATCTGGGAGACCGTGCAAGGGATGCCCGTATCAATGCTCTGAAGCGAGCAGCACGCCGTACATCTATCTCCAGAGTTGCACCGTTGCTTGCCTCTCGTAGCAGGTTAGTCCTCTCCAGCCAGCACCCAGTACAGTCACAGTTTGGAGGAATTGAAGTGAACGAGGAAGTAGAGATGCTACTATGGTCTTTTGCTCTCCATTTCTTTGCAATTGGATCTGTCACTAACTATTTATACCCTTGTAGAAAATGGAGTGCTGGGACCCCGTTGGTGATGGTTGATCAGCCGCAACCCTCGATGAGCGAGCAGAGTTCCACGTCCGCGACGGATCAAGCCGATTGCACTACTAGTGAGACCTATTCCGCAATCCCATATTTGGATTCTTCAGCTAAAAGTCGTCTAGTCGCCCAGAACCAAGACACACAGGCTGGGCAATTTGCTCCCACAGAATGGATAGTGCCCGATATCTATTCAGATCCATTCAGCGCCCCTTTATTCACAGATAACTCGGACTCTTTCATGATGTCGCTTGAAGCGCCACAGAACTTTTGGCCCCCTTTGCCTGAATTTATCAAAACCCCACCTGAACACTTCAGACAAGGTCACATCATGTTCCTCCTCGCAGAAGGTGCTTTGACCCTCCCGAGCGTGTCACTTCAGCATGCTCTCGTCGAAGCCTGGGCGGAATTTGCATATCCCTACATGCCTTTGGCTCACATTCATGATCTGTTGAATACAATTCACAACCCGAACAACTCAGGGCAGCGCATTAGCCTCTTGTTATATCAAGCCATCCTGTTTGCCGGATCCGCCTTTGTCGATACTAAGCATCTAAGACAGGAAAACCACGGTTTCTCAAGCAGGAGAGATGCTAGAAAGGAACTAGCCCGGCGGGTAACAGTATGTCTTTGTTGATATCTTACAATTTCTTGCACCGAGGCTCACCTACTTTCTAGCTGTTGTATGATTTGGAATATGAGAGAGACAAGGTTACTCTCGTTCAAGTAGCGCTGCTCATGTCATCTTGGTCTGATATGCCGCACGCTAACAAAGACTCGTGGCACTGGCTGGGTGTGGCAATCTCGATGGCATATGCCGTTGGAATGAACAACCAATCGACTATCCTTGTTCAACCGCCCCGGGAGCAGAGGCTCTGGCGGAGGATCTGGTGGTCATGTTATTCCAGGGACCGGTTCCTTGCTCTTGGCCTCCGAAGACCGATGCGAATCAACAACGAAGATGTCACTGTTACTGGACTGGAGCTGAATGACTTTGAGCTTAACGTCCTGCCCGACGACAACACCATCATCAGATCGCGAAATACGCCACTTAGGGATCTAAACCAACAGCTCCAGTTAGTGGACTTATTCATATATCGGTCTCGCCTATGTGCTATTGTTACGTCCGTTCTCCACGTCCAAGATGCACATGATAAGTCAATGTCTGCCATGATGGCTATCAACTCAAAGTGGAGCCAGAAGCTCGATCATGATTTCTCACAGGCGGAGGTTGCACTGAACAATTGGAAAATCTCATTGCCGAGGTCGTGTGAGGACCGTCCAGCAGAGCAGGCTGAGCTTGATAATGGAAGCGCGACAATTGCAGTTCAACGCACTCATCTCCACATGACATTCCAAACGATTCTTTATTCTCTTCATCGACCAAGGTTTCTCCCCACGTCACCGAAACTGCTCACCCCGGCAAACAAGCGGCCAAAGTCGAACTCTGTCCACCAAATACGGAATTCCGCAGTGCAGATTACCCGAATAGCAAAGAATCTAGGTGAAATGCACCTCGATAGGTTCCTGCCTGTCTCGGGAGTCACCGTTATTTTCCCCGCGATGGTGATCAGTCTATTGGACATGAAGAGCCGCGATGCAGGCGTGCGGCAGGCGGCGACAGAGCGATTCTCGACGTGTATGCGCGTGATGGAGACGTTGCAAGAAACGTACATTGCAGCAGACTCTACCATAAATTATTTCAAAATGGCTCTTCAGAAGGCATCCATCAGCCTTTCGACTGCTATGGGCAATCCTAAGGTCGAGCCAGAAACAAAAGTTATCATTCCTACAGCGACAACACCCAATACTTTTGTGGACCCGACATCGCTATCAATGCCAGGCTCTACACCGTCGATTGACTTCTCGATCGACAGCTCTCTTTTGGACAGTATTGGCAAATATAAAAGTGGGATAGACACACCAGATAAACCTCACATATTGGATTCCAGCCAGGATGTGACGAAAAATATGCTGGAAGACAACCAGTCACCAGCTAATCTTCTACTGAAGAACGAGGCGGGTAAAGAGCTTGCATACTTGTTCAGCGGCTGGCGAGACTTTCCCCATCACTGGGGAGCTGGAAGCTTTGACGAAGCGATAGAAGGAATTCTGGAGTCTGCAGGGGCTTGATTGGATATAAAAATTGTAGCAAGCGTTGTTTATCTCTTTTGCATCAACTCTTCGATCGAAGAACTCAGGCTGGCCCGCTATAATTTGGCGAGGCTTATTGAAATTGATTGATTATTTTGATCCTATTTATCACTCTTGGCCCTCAGTGCTAGCCTCGGGAGCCTTTTCTCCCTCCTCTTCAGGTTCACCAGTTTTCTTCCGTAGATGTTCTGCTGTGTAGAGAAGGGCCTTCACTTCAGTCTCAGTTGCAACAAGATCCTCCGACTCTCCCGCAGCACTCTCTGAAACGCTGCTCGTTGTATCGATGGCTAACGTGCCCTCGCTCAATTGGAAGGAGTAGATGTTCAAGCTGGGAGCGGCACCTTCGCTCCCAGGATCGAGAGTGACGACGACTTTGGGCGAGCTCTCATCCTCCAAGTTGAAAGCGAGATGGAGAGGGTTCCCTGGAAGTTGGATGATGCTGGGATGGCTCAAAGTATTCTCGTCGGTCAACTCCCAAGCGAAAATTGCTTTGATGCTGTGTTATTCCACGCGTTAGCAGGATGACACTATCTACTTTGGTTAATTTGGAGGGAGGGGGCTTACTTTTCAAAGATGGCTAGGATGAAAGTAATCTTGCCGGAGTCTGATGGGTGATCAAACGATTCCAGTTGAGAAACTGCGACCTCGGACGTTGTTGGGAATACTCTTTGAGCGAGCGAAAGAATGTCGGTCTGGGAAAGGAGTTTGCCTGATGGCCAATTCCATACGAAGAGGTTTGGATCACCACCACCAGAAACAAGAATGTTGTTTCGCGACCTGGGGATCGTTAGGGCATTAACGAACTCCTTATGGCCCAGACAGAATGCCTCGATGACGTGTGTTTGAGGGATGTAGCGCGAGACTCGGATATGCTCATCTCGATCAGCGGTGAGAACATATCTTCGACCTTCTTGCTCTCCCAGAACGACCTTGGTCAGCATCGAAACGTGACCAAGCAACAATGTCTGTTCAAATGCTGGGCCATCTGCGTTTGGGATGTCCCTTTTGTTGAGTTCAATCTGCTTCAATTGCGATTTCAGCGACGCAAGATTTCGCTTTGAATGAACTGTTAGGGGATTGGCTTCAGGCTTAGCGACAACCTGCCGAGAAGGTGCAGGCGTCCATGTTTCTGACTGAATCAAGGGAACGGCGTAGACATCGCCAAACTTGTCGGCGCAGATAATTTGAGAATCAGGGCCTAAAACAACGGAGCTTGGGCGTTTGGGCATGACTCTTTGAGAAGCATGTTAGTGAGCCGTGTTTCATCTGCAAAGTGTACTCATGGGGGAACACCTACCTCTTACTAAGCTCCTTCAGGTTGCCTGCCAAGTCATGCTCAAAGACCCAGATAGCCTTGTCATGGGCTGTGACGACTACAACATGCTTTCCATCTGCAGTGCTGGTGATGTGTGCGATAAGAGGGCGATCCGGCACCTTGGATACGGCCGACCTTGCACCCCGGGCCTGTGCCTTCTTCTTTGCTGCTTGGTCCTTGCCCTTTGCCTCACCGACAGGCGATTTTTCAGTGGGTGCAGATTCCGTCTCTTCTGCTTCAACGGTCTTCTGCCTTTTAGCAGGAGGCTCATCTCCATCTTCTTGAGCGGCGGAGGATGGATCCTCCTTGACTGTTTCAGCCTTTTCCGCCTCAACCTTTTCTGCTTCAGCTATGGCTTTGAAAGCATCGGAGACCTTCTCCGCATCTGGGTGTTTCCAAGTCGAGATGTAACTGCCGTCTTGGGCGTTGAAGGAGTGAAGTTGGCCAGACCTGCCGGCAAATATAATGCCCTTACAGACATGAGCATTGTGATATGGAATCTTCATAGCTGCGAGACGAAGTTTGGGACTTGGCAGAAAGCTTGAAGTTCGAGAAAATGCAGGCAAGCTGATCTGGAGTCCGGAGGAATTGAAATACTACCCAGTCATCAATGATTGAATTTGCCAAAAGATGAGTTGGATACCTCTGGGCTGGAGTTAGAAGCTCCGAAAAATCTACCACTCATGAAGCTTCGCTGCTCTAAGCGGTACTTGGGTACTTGGGTACGTACTTTGCCTCCTCTGATTGCAGGTACGTACCGGCCTCAATTGGAAGGACTCAGCGACCATTCCTATTTAGGATTAGCTCATAGAAGCCCTAATTTCAGATCCAGCACAACTTATTTTACCAGCCTCTTGGGAAAATTTCCAAAATTTCTGAAGCATCATTCTCGCTCTTCACCAAACACTTTCCATATACCCAGGTACCACTGCCCTTAAACAACCTGCCTTCAGGAAAAAGAAGATATGGGGGGCAGCAAGAACAAGTCCGGCTACTTCGACAAGCTCCAAGCTTTGTTGGAGGAATATAAGTCCGTTTTCATCGTCGAAATCGACAATGTCTCCTCTCAGCAGATGCACGAGATCCGCCAGTCCCTCCGTGGACAGGGTGTTGTCCTGATGGGCAAGAACACCATGGTAAGCTCTGCAGACCCAATCAAGCGTCGCGGATCGATTGATCGCGCCGTCGCGGAACCTCGTGCTAATTGAGCAATGAAAATAGGTTCGCCGTGCTCTCAAGACCTTCGTCCCCGACCACCCCGAGTACGAGCGTCTCCTGCCCTTCGTCAGGGGCAACGTTGGTTTCGTCTTCACCAACGGCGACCTGAAGGAGGTCCGTGACAAGATCCTCGCCAACCGTGTTGCCGCCCCTGCTCGTGCTGGTGCTCTCGCTCCCGCCGATGTCTGGGTCCCCGCCGGAAACACCGGTATGGAACCCGGCAAGACCTCCTTCTTCCAGGCTCTCGGTGTCCCCACCAAGATTGCCCGTGGTACCATTGAAATCACCACCGACCTGAAGCTCGTTGAGGCCGGTAGCAAGGTCGGTCCTTCCGAGGCCACCCTGCTCAACATGCTCAACATCTCTCCCTTCACCTACGGTATGGGTATCGCCCAGGTCTACGATGACGGCCAGGCTTTCCCTCCCTCCGTCCTCGACATTGGTGAAGAGCAGCTCCTCAAGGCCTTCACCCAGGCCATCACCACCATTGCCACCATCTCCCTGGCCATCAACTTCCCCACCATTCCTTCCGTCATCCACTCCGTCGTCAACGGATACAAGAAGGTCTTGGCCGTTGCCATTGAGACTGAGATCACCTGGCCCGAGATTGAGGAGCTCAAGGACCGCATCGCCAACCCCGATGCTTACGCCTCTGCCGCTCCTGCCGCCGCTGCCGGTGGTGATGCCCCTGCCGCTGCCGCCGCTGAGGAGGAGAAGGAGGAAGAGGAGGAGGAGGAAGACGAGGGCTTCGGTGGTCTTTTGTACGTGAACCCATTTCCCCATTCTACCCTGATGACTGAACTAACTCTATCACTAGCGACTAAACGGCGATGTGAGCCTCGGGAGCCGGATTGGAAACCAGAGTTTCGATTAGGGTCCATAGACGAAAGTCCTTGGATGCTATTTCATAGAAAACTGACGAACCTATCCGTCACAATGAGACACGATTTCGACGATTTCTTTCTTACGATGTAATGTGAACACAGAAAATGTAACAGGGCCAACCCTCTTACTTTATTATCGTCAAAAGGTTAGTCGCTTCTTCACTTTATGCAATTACACCTCATCATTCTTTTCTGGATGATTATAATAAACACAAGAGCTTTTTAACCCTGAATCTTCATTGATGACAAACACATCACCACCCTATGACAGAATATTCATCTTATCTATTTATTGTTTGAATTCCTTGGAAGAGAACAAATTCGCTAACTATTTGAGAAAAGATTACAGGCAACTTTCCTAATGGTTGAGATCCCGATTCTAAATGGCTTTTCATATTACATGGGCTTCATTCCGCGGAGGTGGAAACCTCTTGTGTTTGTACAGCATTTGATAATACATGTTCTGCCTTGGCGATGACGGCAGCTGGCAATCCCGCCAGCCTCGCCACCTTTAGAGCGTGGCTTTGGCGGTTGACCCCTTCCCGTAGTTTGTGAATGTAGATGAATCCACCCCGGCCATCCTCCTGCACATCAGTACAGTAGAAACGAACCGCTCCTTGATCCTCGCGGCATAGCCCTTCTCCCGAGGCGAGATCTGCAACCTCGTGAAAGTGTGTTGCGAAAAGCGTCCTGCATTGGTTGACTGTGACAAGATGGTGTAGACAGGCGTATGAGACTGCCGTGCCATCTTCTGGAGTGGTGCCTCGTCCAATCTCGTCCATAATGACAAGTGATCTGGGCGTTGCGTTCTTCAGGATCTGAGCCGTTTCCAGCATTTCCACCATGAATGTGCTCTGGTCTCGATATAGGTTGTCCGCTGAGCCGACACGGCTGAAGATGGCATCAACGATCCCGATCTCAGCGTAAGAGGCAGGCACATAACAGCCGACCTGTGCCAGAATTGTGATCAGGGCATTCTGCCGCAGAAACGTACTCTTGCCAGCCATGTTGGGCCCAGTGATAAGCCACAGTCGGCCATGCGTTGGGCTCCCAACGAGGCAGTCGTTTCTGACAAAACTTCTTCCCTGCTCGTAGAGGCCGCCTTCTACCGTTGGGTGGCGGCCGCCGATGATTGTGTGGGATGTTGAATTATTGAGCTGAGGACGTACTAGGTTCTGCTCAGCTGCCAACTTGGCAAACGCAGTGGCGATGTCAAGCTCGTCTAGGACGGCGGCGTTCCGGCGCAGCTCAATGAGATTCATCACCACCTGGGCTCGCAGTGCGTGGAACACTCGCTGCTCCTCGGCTCGGATGTGGAATCGCACTTGGTCGAGCCGCTGCCCGAGTGATGTCCATTCAGGGAGATGGAAAGATCTGGTGGATCGACTGGCAGACAGCGTCTTGATCTCCGTGAGGTTCCTGATATCTTTTCCTTTGACGTGGGCGATATGTCCCAGGGCAGGAGTCCAGCGAAGGGTCAGACTGGCGGCTCCAAACCGCTCTCTGAGTTCCTCATTGAGATCAATCTTCTCTTGGAGTTGCTGAGCGAGCTCTGCGTGTAACTTTTGCAAGGCTCGGCTTGCGGCTGGCCTCATGATCCAGGACTCGTTGTCTTCTGCGTAGTGCTCCCTGATGGAGGTTGGACGCCTCTTCTTCCCCTTTGGAAGGACGGCCTCCGCATCTTCTTGGGTACCCTCTGCTGCCACAACATCCTGGGCGAGGGCCATCATTTGGCTGGCCTCCGAGTATTGCGCCTCATGCTGAATGACAACTCCTTCTTCGTCAATGGCTTTTCTGATCCTTTTTGCTAACTTTACTGGCCCATCTAGGCTTATTCTGGACAGGAGGGTGCTGATACAATGGGACGTCTGATCCGCAGAATCTGATGTTACATGAGAATTGAGAAGATTGACGATGTCCTCGGTTGCTCGGATCGTGTTCGCGAGCGCGAGGAGGTCATCTGGGTCTCCTCGTCCGAGAGCAAACTTTTGGACTAGTCGCTGAGAATCATGGCTTCTCCGAAGTAGGGTGATGATAGAATCTTGAAGGTCTGGTGCCTTGACAAAACAACTGACTAGATCCTGTCTAGACTGGATTACGTCGAGAGAGGTTGAGGGAGAGCAAAGCCATTCCTTGAGCAGCCTCGCACCGCTCTTGGTTACCGTGCGTCGGATTGCGTGAAGTAGGCTTCCGCGGAAGAATCCATCGCGTATCGTTTGGTTAATTTCGAGAGCACGCATGCTGTTCTTATCGATATTCATGATTTTCATGTTTTCATATCGCAGGGGTGCCTGGAGCTTGATGCTCATGCCTTGCAAACGATCTTTGACGTAGTGAAGGACAAGGTCACCTGCACGAACTTCATCATCGGTGAAGGCGTCCCTTGAGCTTTTCGGTATATCTGACTCCAAAAATTGTACCCATCGATCCAGGCCGAGAGGACCGTCTGGCTTTGAGTAAGTTATCAAATGCCTATCCTCGGCTAGAATAGAGAAGACTCCATGGTCCGGCCGTGCCTCTAAACCTTGATCCAGTACGACTTCTCGAGGTCCAACCCGGGAAAGGATGGAGGGAAGCGAAGAGAGATCAGCAGCTTGCGTAAAAAAGTGACCGGTAGAGATGTCAAGCCAGGCCAGGCCCAGCGAAACAGAAGCTTCTTCCAGCTCTCGAGGAGGCTGTGCGGCATCCCCTGGCGTGGTGGGAGAAGAGGATTGCTCTTCGGGCTGGTCAACATGGATAGCAAGAACATAGTTATTTGCATAAGGGTCGATGAAGTTCTCATCGATAAGTGTGCCGGGAGTGATGATACGGGCCACCCGACGATCATGCATTAGACCGCCGGACTTGATCTTTTCAGGGGCGTCATTGGGAAACTCCTCAGCAATGGCCACGTAGCGGTTCAGATCTTGGACTAAGATTTTGAGGAATCTGTCAAGCTGGAAAAAGGGAAACCCTGACTGTGTGTGTGTTGAGTAAGTTCACAATGTTTGAAATTAACTTTGGCCAACACCTCGATCACACTTACCATGGGAACAGGTCCAGCGTTTGTTTTCTTGGAGGCAACTTTGAGATTGAGTAATGGGCCGTACTCTTCTGCATGCTCAAAGTATAGTTCGTAAAATCCCCCAACACGGGTCAGGAGGACGCAATTGTCGAACTTTTCCATGTTGCGCTTTGCCTGCAGGACAACAGTTGGATAGGAGGGCTCATCTTGGGTCTCCTCCACCGGCTTCAACTCAGGCTTGATAACACCTTGAGGCAAGTCTGATATCTGAACGACTTTCTTCGTTTTTTTGCCTCTAGATTGAATGACCAGAGATGGGCTCTGGGCCGGGCTGAGAGAATGGCAGACTGGCCAACGCGATGCAGGGCCACGGGTCGCAAGGCCTTGACATGCTCGGCTGATGAGGGTACCGTGAGCCCTGGTGGTATTGGCGCGGATCATCTGCAGCTTCAATAATGAAGGAGCCACCTTCCGATTATGTTGGGAGGGTCACTCTCCTTGCGGGCAGATGGTGTCAAATGCCCCCATTTCTCACGAAGGGGATGAAGAAATTGGAATACAGTGCGCATGATTATGTTTACTGTATATAGAGGCTCCTACAGTGGGATAAGGCCAATGAAGCCCGCCTGTTAGCACCCACAGCGTACAGTAAATTCATTCTTTGCACACGGTAGCATTTTTTGTTTGGTTTTTCTGAGACGTTGAATGATTGAGCAGGAGGTTCATGAGGTGAGAAGCTACGAGGGCGTCCACCCACCAGTTGAGTTCATTTAGCGAAGAGTTGTTCATTTTCCGCCAAACAGCTTTATGCTAGGAAGTTGGCATCGGGGGAGGGCAATCAATTGGAGGCAAGCAGTTTAAGATTGGATGGTGCCTGATCGCGTTTTCCTTTGTTCGTTTGTTTTGCTTGCGTCTTTGGCAGCCACGACACTTGGAAACAGTTTACTTCTCCTTATAGTCGAGACGAGTATCCCCATCATTCTATCCTATCCATACTCCTCCTCGCCCATCATCCTCGGCTAGGTCGTCTTGATTCACATTGATTCGGCCAAAGCCACCCGTGTCTCTTTAGCCTCATCCTCACCTAATGCATTTTTCTCTATACGATTAATACAGGCTATCATCCTCAACCAGCTCTCGAGCAGTTACTGATTCCAGATTCTGAGACGGTCCGAACGGCCAAAAGGCGTCAGCAGACACTTGCGAACAGTAGCATCGAGAGCTATCACGAGACTGGCTGTTGCAAGAGACACTGCGACTGTATATCAGCAAACATGAGGTATGTCGCCGTGTGGTTTCATTTGTGCGAACTTCTGCCCCAGGAACGCAAACCGCTGGAGTCGCTGCGGCATGACACATACACACACTACCCATACATCACTACACTACGTCCACGGATGGATATGCATAAGGTAATGGATGGAAGGGTGCGGCACGACGAAACTCCACCCATCCACCCCTCAATAGGAAGCTCCACAGCGGATTGCGGGTGCATCCTGATCAACTGATCAAACATCGCCCGGGGAGCGCTTTAGCAGCGACTGGTACCTACATGCTGCCCATTATTAGCCCACCCGCCCTTTACTCCAGCATGCTTCTTCCCCGCAGACAGCTCCCGCGCTTATTCGCACTGGGTTTGCTGTGCCCAAGCCACGGGCGCACAGTGTGTGACCTTGCTCCTGTACTTTACATACCACACTCCCCAAATATATATTCCTCCTCTCACCTGCGTTCCGACTCACAAGATCGTCTCCCTTCAAGTGCCACTCTCGAGCCTGCTCCGTTCACATCATCCCCTTCGATCCTACCCACACGCCTGTTGTGGAGCCGCAAGAGGGTCGCTTGTGATTCTGCCTGATCTACTGCAGCCCCGTTGACATCACTCCAAACTCGGCTACTCTGGAGTTTGACATACTAAAGCAATTGGTCCTCATCTAGTTCCAATCCGTCAAGCAATCGCCCGGTCGAGCTCCTCGTCCCCGATTTACTGCCAATTGATTGTGCCCGCCACATCAGCTTGGCACCCAAAAAGCTGAGTTTATCTCCAAACCGACTTCGACGGCTGTCAAACCGTTCTGCACCTCCAGCTCCAGGCCTTCTCCACGAGGACGCTACTATGGGTGGTGGAAATGATTCAAGGGGCGATTACTCGTACCCTCTCTTTGCAGAGAAGCCTGTGGGCGTTCCAAAGACTAGTATTCTCAAGGGCCGTATTGAGCCCTTCTATAGGCCAGGGCAGTATGAGAAGATCAACCTTCTTGCGTAAGAAACCCTTCGTGTATTACCCTTCCTCTCAGGCTGTAATATCTAACTTGCTATGCAGCAACATGTACCATGCCAGGTACTCGGGAAGTCCACATGTTCAGCTCGCGGTTTGGGACGCTCCTGGCCAGGAGCGCCCTACCTTCGAGGAAGCAACAAAGCAGGTCTTCCGCGAGACTCACATTGGGGCTTCCTTTGGCCCTTCATGGTCGACTCACTGGTTCAAGGTGACTCTGACTATCCCGGCAGACATTGCGGGAGATGAGTTGCTGGAGCTCCATTGGGATGCTAACAATGAAGGCCTGATCTGGTCTGAAGCCGGCATGCCACTACAGGGCCTGACTGGCGGTGGCGAGCGTATTGAATGGGTCATCCCAAAGGAATTCCGTGATGGCAGCAAGCACACCATCTACATTGAGATGGCTTGCAACGGCATGTTTGGAAACGCTCCCGACGGTCAGACCAGCATTGCGCCACCCGATCCCAACAGATACTTTGGTCTTGGCAAAGCCGATATCGTTTCAGTCAATCTCCAAGCCCGGATGCTTCACTTCGACATGTGGGAGCTTGGTGATGCTGCTCGTGAACTTCCCGAGGACTCTGCTGAGCAAAACCGGGCCCTCCAAGTAGCCATGAAAATTATTGACACATTCGAACTCAACAACCAAAAGTCCATCTTGAAGTGTCGCGAGCTTGCCAAGGAGATTCTCGGTCCTGATGTTGACTCCCATCGTGTCTACGAAGTTGGCAAAGAGCCAGTGGTATTTGGAATTGGAAATTGTCATATTGACACCTGCTGGCTTTGGCCTTGGGCCGAGACCAAGCGCAAGGTTGTCCGATCTTGGAGTAATCAGTGCGACCTCATGGATCGCTATCCCGAGGCAACATTTGCCTGCTCCCAAGCCCAGCAATTCAAATGGCTGAAGCAATATTACCCAGCCGCCTATGACAGGGTCAAGAAGAAGGTGGACGAAGGCCAGTTCCTACCCATTGGCGGCAGCTGGGTCGAACACGATACCAATATGCCGAGCGGTGAATCTCTTTCCCGCCAATTCTTCTATGGCCAGAGGCTTTTCGAGCGGGAGTTTGGCATTCGTTGCCGAACTTTCTGGCTTCCTGACACTTTCGGGTATTCCAGTCAGTTGCCGCAGCTTTGTAGACTTGCAGGCATGGATCGGTTTGTCACTCAGAAACTGAGCTGGAACAATATCAACAACTTCCCGCATACCACCTTCATGTGGGTGAGTCCTGATGGGAGCCAAGTGATCTGCCACATGCCCCCTTCGGAAACCTATACCGCAGATGCAAACCTGGGAGACGTCAAACGAAGCATAACACAGCACAAAACCATGAGAGTTGACAACTCATCGCTTCTTTTATTCGGAAAGGGCGATGGAGGTGGTGGCCCAACCTGGGAGCACTTTGAAAAGCTAAGACGCTGCGCTGGAATCAGCAACACAGTCGGCGGAATTCCCAAGGTGAAACTTGGGCACACTGTTGACGACTTCTTTGACCGTCTTGCTCCGAAGGCAAGCGAATTTCCCACTTGGTATGGCGAACTCTACTTTGAGCTTCACAGAGGCACATACACAACACAGGCAAACAACAAATACTTCAATCGCAAGTCAGAGGTGTTGCTTAGAGAAATCGAGCACCTGGCAACTATTGCTTCGCTCAAGTTTAAGGGGTACAAGTACCCCACGGAAGATATTGATAATATGTGGGAATCTGTTTTGCTTTGCCAATTTCATGACTGCCTGCCTGGAAGCTGCATCGAGATGTGCTACGATGATTCTGACAAGGTGAATAATCTTCTACACTTTTCTCTCGCAATTGACGACTAACAAGTGTTTTCTCAGCTCTACGCCGAAGTCTTCAAGACCGGCAATAAACTCTTGAAGGAGCTTTATGGATATTTTGGCCTGTCGGAGGTTCGTTCCAACTGTCTGCAAGAATCTGTGGCCATCAACAACATACCCTGGCACCGCGAGGAATTTGTTGAGTTCTCTGAAACTGAGGTCGGCATTGTCAGTGGTGAAGGTGAGCTTCTCCGTCTCCAGCCGCAAGATTCCACACCAGGAATCTCCGTACAGGAGACATCTTCAGGAGTATTCGTTCTTGCAAACGACCAGCTTCGCATCGTGGTTGACCACGGTGTTATTGTGTCCCTCTACGACATTACAAACGACCGAGAAGTCATAGAGAAGGGTGGACAGGCCAACAAGTTTGTCATTTTTGATGACATTCCACTCTACTGGCAGGCTTGGGACGTGGAAGTCTACCATCTCGGTACACGGCGACAGTTGGAACACGGCGAGACGAGAATTTTCGAACAAAAGCCGCACAAAGTTACTCTTGTCACAGATGTCAAAATCAGCGAGGAAAGCTCACTGAAGTCCTTCATCACCCTATCGGCGTCTCTGAATGGCCAGCCTTCGCAAGTGGACTGTTCAGCAGAGGTCGATTGGCATGAGAATTCCAAGTTCCTCAAGGTTGAGTTCCCGGTTGATATTGTCAACACGGAAGCATCATACGAGACAGCCTACAGCATTACCAAGCGCCCTACTCATTACAACACAAGCTGGGATATGGCTAAATTCGAGGTGTGCTGCCACAAATTTGCCGATCTTTCAGAACACAACTATGGTGTTTCTATCTTGAACGATAGCAAGTACGGTTTTGCGACGGCTGGCAAGACGATGCGTCTGTCCCTGCTTCGCTCTCCCAAAGCACCCGATGCGCATGCTGACATGGGGCATCATTCCATCCGATGGGCGATCCTCCCGCATAAGGGCTCTCTGTCATCCGTGACTGTGAAGGCCGCCTATGCTCTCAACAATCCTCTCACTGTTCTTTCAGGTTCCAAAGAATCCATCGCTTCGCTCTCTGGCTCCTCCATCAAGCTCGTTAACGAAGATGACTCGGAATCACTCGTTCTAGACACCATCAAACGTGGACACGATGATGAGGATGTCACCCGACGTGAAGGAACCCGTGTCAACCCTGGACAGAGCATAATTCTGCGTGTATATGAGTCCCTGGGAGGACACAGCAAGGGTACCATCCAGACTGCTTTCCCCATCAAGCGAGCGTCAAAGGCGAATATCCTCGAAGACGAACTTGAAGAAATTGAGGTTAAAGATGGAAAGGTTGCGATTAAGCTTAGACCATTTGAGGTTGCCACTTTCAAGCTTCAACTTTAGGATGATCAAGAAGCAGATTGTACATGCCCACCACCCACGGGCGTCCAGGTTTTCACACTGTTTTGAGCATGGATTTTTGTTTATCAGTAGCACCCGATCATTATTGTTACCTCCAAACCTCGCACAGCAATAGCTTAAATTTAGTTCCCTAAGCGTGACAAACTTCTATGAAATTCAAATCTTCCCAGCGCCAACAAGTCAAGATGCGTTTTGCTGATTCAAAATCGGTACTATGAACATTGAAACAACTCCAGAAAATGGGAAGAAGGGATATAAGGCTAAAGGGAAAGTTGTAAACACGTAGGCCAGCATTCATCAGTCACACTCAGTGACACTGGTGGGTTCTTTTTATCATACATTATGAACCCGCAGCGGCGTGCTCATCCTAATACATCATCATGACAGAGAAATGTTCCGCGAAAGCCCCAACAGAAGCGGTTCTTCATACTCGGCGAAGCTATTCGGTATCCTCTGGTAATTCATCAATGACGTCCTCCACCATCATGATGAGCTCGTCGATATCCGGCCGCTCGGCGGGCTCAACGGCAAGACATTTCCGGACGACCTGGCGGATCGGCTCGCTGATGCTGGCGCTGGGGGTGGCGGGGGCGTTGGCCGAGGAGCCCTGCGGGTTGCGCATGCTGTTTGAGCGCTTCACTCCGGCGGGGCCCTCGTCGGGGAAGCGCCAGTCGCCGCCGAGGACGCAGAGGCTGAGGGTGCCGCCGGTCTCGTCGGAGCGCATCTCGAAGGGGGACTTGCCGACGAGGCAGGCGTAGAGGGTGCAGCCCATGGACCAGATGTCCGTCTTGGTGTCGATGACGGTCCCCGTGCGGACGTCGAAGAGCTCCGGGGCGCGGTAGGGCATGGTGGAGTGCTCGGCGGCGGTGTCTTGGATCTGGAGGGCGACGGAGTTGGAGGATACGGGGATGGGGGAGGGGGCGACGGAGCCGAGGTCCATGAGGATGGGGGCGGCGCCGGTGTCGTCGATCATGATGTTGCCTGTGTATATATGTTAGATTGGGTCACAAGACAGATAGGACCGGCAGAGGGGGGGGGAATATACCTGGCTTGATATCACGATGGGCATAGCTCTGCGTCTTGCCCCCGGGCCCCGAGTTACGGACCGAGTTCTCCGCCTCCATCAGCGGCCGCTCCTGCTCGCCCTCCTCCTCGAGCTCCGTCCGCTTGCTGCTGGTGCCGCCCTTGCTGTTGTTCTGGCTGGCCTCGTCGCCCATCTCCATGCGCTCGACGGGGGTCTTGTACTTGTGCATGGCGCGCAGGGCCCTGCAGACGCCGAGGAAGAGGGTCATGAGGTGGCGCTCGGGGAACTGGGCGTGGTTGACGAGGTTGGCGTTGATCATGTCCTGCAGGTTGCCCCTTCGGTAGTAGGGGAGGAGGATGTAGACCGTCTTGGAGGCCTCGTCGCCGCCGCGCTCGGTGGCGACGCTGTGGTCAAAGGCGGAGATGATGGAGGGGACGTGGGCGAAGAGGCGGTAGGCGTCGACCTCGCGCATGGCCTGCTGGACGGACTCGGCGCCGAAGGGGCAGCGGATCTTCTTGAGGGCGAAGAGGCTGTGGGTCGAGGTGTCCTCGACGAGGTAGACGTAGGAGAAGCCGCCCTCGCCGAGGAGCTGGAGGATCTTGAAGCTGCGCCCGTTGATCTTGAGCGTCGGCGAGCCGGGGAAGCAGTTGAGGCAGTTGCCCAGCGAGTAGACCAGGTCGAGGACGATTTGCGCCATGGCGGCGGCGGGGGACGGGTTCGCCTTGGGCACCTCGGATGGATGGTGGGTGTTGCTTCGGTTGTTGGTGTTTTCTTGGATCGACGGATGCTTTGCTTCACAACTGCTGGCAACCCTGGCAACGAGCGGGCCGAGACTGGCGAATCGGGTTCTAGGTCTCCTCACGGTCAGAAGGGCAGGTAGCGATGGGTCAATGAGGCGTCGTGGAAATGGAATTGAGAGAGAGCGGAGAGATTGATGCTGTGTCAGATCCCCGGATTAGATGTAGTTAGATAGAGCTAGGTGGTTGCTGCCGGCTGTGTACGTATGCCGAATGGGTCCATCGACTGTGGATGTATCTACTGGTCGATATGTAGGTGACCTGTAAGACAAGCTACGCACCCTTGGCTGTAAAGGTAGCTTTTACTTGTACTCCGTGGGCCATTACGTATTAGCCACAGGCTGAGCTTAACCACAACCAAGGACGGATAGCGCCACAACACCGCCACAAATGCAATGCACATGAACTTATTTTTAGCTCCGGCATATTGCTTGTTTCGCCCGGTGTAAGTCTATACCTTGAACCTATCTTGTTAATTAGACGACAACACACTGTTTTACTCTCATTTCGGATACACCACGTTACGTAGATACCGTTTAATTTTTTTCGACTCTGCCTGCATGAATCTCTACCAATTCTACCATAAACATGAAATGCCCTTCCATCCTTCTGCATGTCCCAGATAAAAATTGTGTTCGCGGGAGTTGCGGATGGTGATTGTGTTCAAATCTCAACTCCAAAGTTAGTTTTCTACCGTCCACTTTAGAATGAATCCCAGACCATTTGTGCTACAATTCCCCAGCACTCTACCTATAGCCCCAAAGTTCGATTCAGAAAAAAAAAGACAAGCGCCACAACACCATTAGAGAGTTTCAAGAAAAAGAAGTGGAAAAATATCGCGTCAAATATCCCAATGTTATGATGTAGCAACGCCTCCTGCCAAAAATAAGATGTGAAAAGAGAAAATCCGATTGCTTTCTTGACTCATCATCATCCAGCCAAAATCGACAAAGTACAAGTGTAGCCTCATGAGTGATGCTTGAGGTAATACGTTTATGCGCCTTCTATACCCATAGGACAGGCTCTATTCTTAAGAGAGCAGATTGCGGAGCGAGGGACTTGCACTTGCCCCCGACGTTGGTCGAGACTCAGGCCCATTCCTAGGCGGGTGATGTCCAATCGGAGCAGACTCCTGAGGGGGGGGCAAGGTATGCCCTACTCCGAGTGGGCTACCATGTGGCCCAGAGAATGGTGGTCTAGGAGGCGTCAGGCCAGGTTGGTATGGCTCTGGCCTGTGAGGCGGCACCCCGTTGCTCAGCCCATGAGGAGGTCCGTGGTGACGAGGTGGTCCAGGTACGGGCGCCGGCGCATAGGGCGTAGAATATTGAGGTTGCGGAGGTGGGCCAGCACCACGACGTGGCGATGGTGGCAAACCGTTCACATAGGGCTGAGCTCCATGTCCATGAGGCGCTGGTTGATGCAGGGGTCCTGGGGGAGGAGGTGGTGGTGATACGGCCATGGGCGGAGGTCGTAAGGAGGACATTGTATTCAGAGGTGGACCGCCGGCCAGAGGAGGAGGCCCATTGCTCAGATGCTGGGAGGGAGGTCCTGGTGGATTACCCGGTCGGGGACCCCAATCGCCAAAGATGCCGCGAGGGGGCTGAATAGGTGGTGGTGGTGCTACAGGCCCTGCTGGCGGGATCGTCGACGAAGGTGGCGGGGGTGGATAGCCAGGAGGGGCGAGAGGGGGCCTAGAATCACCAATGCGAACAAGCCGACCTGCAGGTCCGGGCGCGGCGAAAGGATGTGTAGGGTGCGATGGGGGTGATTGAGACCAAACCTGATGATAAGGAGCTCGCACATCCCGGCTCTCCGCGTACAAGGGCGCGGGGCTTCGCAACGGAGTCATCGAGTTGGGATAGCCTGACTCGATCGGTGGTGGACGAGCAGGCTCAGCGACAAGTGACGTAGGTTGAGGGTGATGAGTTTTCGGTGTTCGATTGGTCTTTCGACATTTGTGACACTGGAACTTCCTTTGTTCCACAAACTTCTTTGCCTCATCTCCCAACGAGCCATAATGACCATTTGTGAGCTCTCGCTCCTGTGATATATTGGTGGCCCACCACTTGGGGCTGACATCGATACCGCAGCTGATACAGACCTTTTCCCCTGCAGGTTGGGACTCAGTTGAGGAAACAGCTGCTTCTCCGTTGCGAGTATGCGATGTTCCCCCGTTGACAGGTTGGAGTGTTGAAGCTCTTCGAGCTCCTGGTTGCATTAGGGTGCCCGACATCTTTGCTGCCGTAGTCATCAGGTTTGCCTTGCGCACCGTACCAGTCAACGCTAGGTCTGCCTGCTTGTAATTTTGCACATAGAATTGAAGCAGATTCAGAGACTCATTGGAGTCGCCGGGATCCACCTCCTCATGCATCTGATGTACGGCGGGTTTGGTCGAACCGTGGTCTTTGCACCATAGGGTTGCCGTCATAGTCCCACTCTCCCCTTGAATAGATACAATGTTGTGTTGGTCTCGCTTAGAGCTTTTAACTGGCGTGATCTCAAATCCAAGGATGTGATCTTGCTTTCGAGCACACTCAACATGGAAGGAAAGGCGGCATTGCTGACAAAAAACACAGGCGCCGCCTCTATCGTTGCAAGCCATGCAGGTTTCGTCATATCGTGCTCTTGGGATGGAAGGAATTCCTTCCGAGGGCATCAGCGCTTTTGCGTTGCCGAATCTGACCTCCGGGGTCCATACGGCACAAGTTACGTGTACCCAGTTGTTGTCGGCTGTCCGCTTCAGAGCTTCACGAGGGTTAACAGGTCGGTTCAGCTCTTCTTGCTTTTTGCGATAAAATTCTGCCGCTTTGCGAGCCTGCTGCACTTCTAGCTTTTCTCGCTCGCGATCTTTCTCCGACATCTTCTTCTTATGATGAGTGAGCTTCGGCTGCTCAACAAAATCATGTTCAGTAAGCTCCACCGGGCAGAGTACGCATTTGTATTGCTGTAGTTGGATCAATTATTAGTCAAAATCAAATGGATTAACCAAGAGCAGAACAATCCTTACAATAGAGACCTGAGGGTTCTTGTCATTAGTGCACATGTCGCAAGTCCACTTATTAAGTGACTTTGCTGTATCAAGAACACCGTAACATTTTCGATGGACAGGGAGGCGACACTCCCGGCAAGAGAGATGGTTATCCAGCGGCTCGATTTGGGCGCAAATGGCGCAAGGGAGAGTTCGGGGTTTGGGCATCTCAGGAAGGGGAGACGTTTCCGAGGTCTTTTCCGAGGCCTCTCGCTTCTCCTTCTTTTTGGAGACCACTGCACCAGGTGTACTTCCACCATCCGAGTCTGTTTCCTTTTCCGGTGCGGCCCCCTTGAGCTTCTTGCGGGGCGGCTCACCCCCGTTAGCGACTGGCGTGCCATTTGCGACCTCCAAGGGAGCCTCGGGTGCAAGTAGGCCCATTTCTTTCACAGTCTGCAGCTCTTTCAGAAGCTCTTCGTCTTGCTTGCGCTTCCAGGCTTTGCCTCCTGACTGAGCAACCTTCTTGGCTACTTCATCGATGTCCTCCCACCGGATAGCATACCGCCGCCACAGCTCGGCACATCGAGAGCACAAGGCAATGACGTACTGGCTACCTTTGTCCTTTCCTGTGGCTTTGACGCCATTCTCGTTCACCAGGCCTGGGGTGGGATTTGGGGCACGACGCCAACGTCGTGAGCTAGTGCTTGAGCAAAACTGACACATGAAGGCTCGCTTCTTCTCCGATGCCTTTCTCGAATCAAACGCAGAGTCGTCGTCGTCGTGCGCGACATCGTCCGCAACCTTGGTGAGTGCCTCGGCTTTCTTGGCTTCCTTCTTGCCCTTTCGTCCTGGGTAGCTGCCCCATACAGGCTTCCCGCGGTCTGATTTCTTCCATGTGTAATAGAACCGGACTACCTGTCCCGGGGTCATTGTTTTGACGTGCTTCATGACAAGATGGAGTTCTGAGCCGTATTTTGCAACACCCTCTTCAAACTTCTTTAGTTCATTGGCGGACGGGGCCGGTTCCTTGAACAATTTGATATCAGTGGATGCAAGATCCTTCATTGCTTTTTCGGGGTTGTATTTGTCCTTGAACAGGCAATTCAGTGCAATGTCCTGCAAGTTAGTTGACCGTTTTGGAAGGCCAAGCTTATCTGCTTGTCCCTTTGCTTCATCCATATAATCTAATGACTTTTGGGCGGTTTCTTCGGATGTTGGAGGCTTCCAGAGTAGAGCAGATGTTGCGTTCGGGTCATTAGGGTCGACGTAGTCCTCTCCACGAGATGTGTATCCAGGAGGCATGTCCTGAACCCATTTTGGACGCTTACCGTCCGGGTACAAATCGGCAATCTGGGCAGCTTGTGCCTCCCTATTGGCTTTGGCATCTTTCCGTCCGCCCCTCCTTGTCTCGGGTGGTTTAATATACTGCACGGGTCGTCCAGGCCAGGGCCCTACGTTGGCCTGGTGTCGAGGTCCAATTCTGGTGCTGGCGCGCGGGTATATACGATCATCATAGTCTAGAGCGTCCTCGGGCTTGCAGTGCATGCCCAGATATCTCCATGGCCAGAGGCTTGCCTGGTAGATTTGCTCGGCGGTGCCTTGGTGATGATGCTCGGCATCCTCCGCAGGAGTGGTACCCCCAGTCCCACCAATTTGGACGTCATCCTCATCGTCCTCCAAAAGCTCGTCATCGTCGCCATCCGCCGCAAGATGAGGCGTGTGGCGAGCCTCAAGTTTGCGTTCTTGAGCTCTGCTACAGGCGGCACATGACCAGGCAAATCCTCGAGAAGGCTTTTTCAACAGCGGCGGCTTCACACAATTCATATGATAGGTCTGCTGGCAGACAGCACAATCGACAGAGTCATTACTATAATGGTGGTGGGGCGCACAGTTAGCTTGATGAAACGCGCACACCACACACACAGTCGGCCA